CTCCCCTTCACTGTCTCCTCATCTCCCTGCTTCTGTGTTGATTTTTGTGTCTTGGCTTGATACGCTCATCTGGCTTGAACTAAACTGACGCGTAGCTTGCAGCACGTCCAAGGCCTTTGTAAAGAAGAAGGCTGCTCTAACACTCCTCCGTCTATACCGCAAATACCCCGGTATCGTGCAAATCGAGTGGGCCGAGCGGATAATATCTTTGATGGACGACCCTGATATGGGTGTCACCCTATCTGTCACCTCCTTGGTCATGGCATTGGTCCAGGACAAACCAGAAGAGTATAGGGGGAGCTATGTGAAGGCTGCTCAGCGACTGAAGAGAATCGTGGTTGATAATGACATTGCTTCGGACTACCTCTATTATCGCGTGCCCTGTCCTTGGATTCAGGTCAAGCTGCTACGGCTACTACAATATTACCCACCGTCAGGTATAACATGCTCTGCCCAACGAGACTTTTTTTTTCTATCCTGACTAATGCAACGCAGAGGACAGTCATGTCCGCGAGATTATCCGTGAGTCTTTACAGCAAATCATGAATATCGCTATGGATACGCCGAAGAACGTCCAGCAGAACAATGCTCAGAATGCCGTGCTCTTCGAAGCCATCAACCTTCTCATCCACCTTGATACTGAGCACAGCCTCATGATGCAAGTCTCGTCACGTCTAGGCAAGTATATCCAATCGCGGGAAACGAACGTTCGGTATCTTGGCCTCGAGGCTATGACGCACTTCGCAGCCAGGGCAGAGACCCTTGATCCTATTAAGAAACACCAGAACATCATCCTTGGATCACTTAGAGACAGGGATATCAGCGTTCGCCGCAAGGGTCTGGACCTTATTTACAGCATGTGTGACACGACGAACGCCGGCCCAATTGTGAATGAGCTTTTGCGGTACCTTCAGACAGCAGATTACGGTATTAGGGAGGAAATGGTACTGAAGGTTGCTATTCTTACGGAAAAGTATGCCACTGACGCTCAGTGGTACATCGACATGACCTTGAAGCTCTTATCTCTGGCGGGCGACCATGTCAACGATGAGGTGTGGCAACGAGTGATCCAGATCGTGACGAACAACGAGGAGCTACAAGCCTATGCGGCGCACACGCTTCTCAATTATTTAAAGACCGACTGCCACGAAAGCTTGGTGAAGATTGGATGCTACGTTCTGGGCGAATTCGGACATCTTATTGCGGACAACCAAGGCTCCAGCCCCATCGAACAGTTCCTGGCATTGCAAGCCAAGATGATTACCAGCACTGACAACACCCGCGCAATGATTCTCTCATCTTTCATTAAATTCGTCAACCTCTTTCCCGAGATCAAGCCCCAGCTGCTTCATATATTCCGGCTGTATAGTCACTCTCCCGACTCAGAACTTCAACAACGAGCTTTTGAATACCTGTCGCTGGCGACACTTCCTACCGACGATCTTCTTCGGACAGTTTGCGACGAGATGCCACCCTTCTCGGAGAGAGCATCAATTCTTCTCTCTCGTCTTCACCAGAAGACGGCTGGCACAACCGATAAGAAGACCTGGGTTGTTGGTGGCAAGGATGCCAATCAAGATAAGAAGGAGGTCCTTATGGCGCAAAATACTGGGCTTAAGCGCACATTCACTACGATTGTCAATGGCACGAACACTGGAACAAACGGCACAACGGCATCACCAGTATCAAGCGCAACAGGGGACCTAGCAGGACTGGACCTCAGCACTTCAACTGCTCCGCCTCCCCCGAATATGGCCAGCGCAGCCCATCTTACGCCGGACTGGGATATTGGGTATAACCGGTTATATTTCAAGGAGCAAGGTGTGCTGTTTGAGGATGCTCAAATTCAGGTTGGCCTGCGATCCGAGTACCGTGGCCATATGGGCGTGGTGAAGATCTACATCTCTAACAAGTCGTCCTTCCCCATTGGATCATTAACGACGACGTTAGACAACCGTGCAGCGCCCAGCCTCAAGATAGACACCAAAAGCTTACCCGAGCCTTCTGTTCCGGCTGCCGGTCAAACCCAGCAAACGTTTTTCTTTGAGGCTCATGGGCCATTCACTGATGCGCCTACCATTCGCATCTCTTATCTTGCAGGTGCCCTTCAGGCCTATACATTACAACTTCCCGTCCTTATGCACCGGTACATGGAGCCGTCGACCTTGTCGGCTGAAGAATTCTTTAAACGGTGGAGGCAGATTGGTGGACCACCCCTTGAAGCACAGAACACGTTTGGGGTAGTAGCAAAAGCAAAGGATATCAATGAGACGTTCACGCGACAGACTGTGGAAGGGCTTGGCTGGAGAATCGTTGACAATGTGGACCCCAACCCGAAGAACATTGTGGGCTGTGCTGTGTACCATCTTGGCACAGGGAAGACAGGATGCCTTCTACGACTGGAGCCCAATTATGAGAAGATGGTGAGCTTTCTCTCAGCATTCGAGGGCATATATAAGATATCTGAACTGACATGCTTTCTGTAGATGTATCGCATCACCATCCGAGCCACACAAGAAGCCGTGCCACAGGCGCTGGCCAAGCAGATGGAGCAGAAATTGGCGCAGGGAAGTACGTCCGATCGTTATGCATAGTATACGGTACTGGGGTCGGGACTTTGCCGGTTGACACGTAAAGTTTATAATGCATCTAATAATGTAAATCCTTTCTCACTGTCTTTCTTTCCTATTATTCGTCACCTTGGCAGGAACGCGAGGTAGCGACTTGTATTTATTGAATACTGATATAAAGAGGTATATATTCAACATCTGCAATGTTCTGTCGCACCGACCTTTTATATACACCGGTGGGATGCCCCATTAAAGCCTCGTTGTGTGCTTTGATGTCTGGATTACCGGGGACCCGCTCTTGAATGCAAGTTCGTAACTCATAACACAGCCCAGATCCTACACTCATATCTAGATCACCTTCGCCTGGTCCTTGGGCGGTCTCTCCCCAAAGATAGTTGTTCCCACCCGAACCTCATCACTTCCCAAGGCAATAGCGCCTTCGAAATCCTCACTCATGCCCATACTCAACTCCAACCGGGCATCCTCCCCCTCCAGCTCCAGCTCCCGCACAATCCGATCGCGCGTCTCCCGCAGGCACACAAAATCCTCATTCTCCGTCTCAGGCGTGGTCGCCTTCGACCTTGCAATAGCCCCAATCGTCATTACCCCCTGCAGCTTAAGTCGTGGACACTTCTCTCGGATAAAGCGACAGAGCGACACCGCGCCGGAAACAGGATCGACCCCGGACTTATTCTCCTCCCCGGATGTGTTCACCTGCACGAACACCCGCAACTGAGACTCTTGGTCGGTCGCGCGCAGCTCTTCCGATCGCTCCCCCCATCCTTTATCCAGGAGGGAAGCCTTCTTTTCGGAATCGACACTCTCGACGGCCCAGAGACCCCGGACGTCCCGTGCCAGCGTCACGCACTTATTGGACTGCAAACCGCCGATGAAATGCCATTTGATGGTAGGCGGGAGCAGCTTGGACTTCTCCTGCAGCTCTTGCAGATAGTTTTCGCCGAAGTGCAGGTGGGAGGCAGGCGGCTGATGAAGGGCGAGGACGTCGGCGGCGGGCTTGAGCTTGGAAACGGCGATGAGCCGGATGGGTCTTGATTCCGTGGCGGCTTTAGTCGTGGCTGCGGTGACGCGCGACGTCACCGATCCTAGGTTGGAAAGAAGAGTGGCGGTTCGAGCGGGGGAGGCGGGCATGACTGTTGGTTGTTGCTGTTGTTCTTGCGGTGGTGGTGGTTGGGAGGTCATTGCAGGGTCTTTGTCAAATCGGATTAAACTATGATGGTCCTACCGATTCGGAGATTCACGATGCCGGTTTCCTCGCGGGCGGAGATTGGTGTACAGTGATCTGAACGAACTATGCGAATCAACATACGTAGGTATATCTCTATCAGATCTAAAATGGAGTTTCCCGAGGAGCACTGAAGAAGCGCTAGCCCCAACTAGGAAGAGCCTGACTGCGCGTGGGCACGTGATACGGGAGATCGGCTCCGAGAGATTCCGTTCCAGAAGATCTCAAGTGGTCTTAACTTATTTGAGGCTTAGTGTACTAGTACCTGTAGCCTATCTGGGGGAAGCCACACGCCGTTTTCGTCAATTTCTGCAGAAGATTTACGAGGTAAACTAATGGATTAGTCCGGGTAGTCCTACTAGTATAGTAGTCAGGTCCACTCGTAACTTGAATGGTAGGGCTATTTGAAATCTAACGACTTCAGCTTTAAATAGTGCGTCATCCTTTGAATATTTTGAACCCCTCTTTATGAAGAAGAGAAAAGGAATTAAAGAAGAAAAAGGGAAAAAAAAAAAAAAATCAGAAAATGCAAGGAAAAAGGGCCAGACCAATATGTTGGACCCTGTGACAGCGGACTGCATGGTAGAACCCACCAGACATTCCATCCAATTTCACTTACGGACACTATCAGATTCAAGTTGATTATAGGATATTTTCTTTTCTTTTTTTTTTTTTTTTAATCCTAGTTCCTCTCCGCGGATTTTGTTCCTGCATTAGCAAGAAACTCTGCCAGACGAGAATGAAAAGAGAGAATTAAAATCCAGTCCAACCAAGGGAAAAGATGATAGATAGTGCAATCGTTGCAGCCTAGACCTTCACTAACTTAGTAAGACCTCACTGGGGCAGTACCTTTTTTTGGTCCTGAAAGTCTTTCAGCCAAGACAGACCCGAGTCGCGATGCGCAACGGGGCGCAGTTGGCCGAACCATCGTCCACCGTCTGCCGCTTCGGCGAAGGAAGTTTCTCACTCTCCTTTTAATGGCCTATCGGTAGAGTGCCTCCAGTCACCCAGACACATGGCTATCCTAAAGTACGTATACAGTAATTGGAGCAGACCACTCGGCCCCCAGAGAAAGGAAGGAAGGAAGGAAGGATTGAGCGGCAAATCTCTCGGCGGCACAGAAGCGCGTGCCTATTCTATTCCTATACATAGCAAACCAAAAAAAAAAAAAAAAAAAAGACTCGGCGCTAGATGACCCAAATCAATGATTCAATCACCGTTCGTAACGTTGTACTGATCCTTTTCTGTTGACGCCGGACTCCACCGGCTTCGATGCTGACGTCAAAGACTTAATCTGGCATTATTTCCCCCCCAGAAAAGTGTTGCCATCATCGGTCTGTGTTTACTTAGGTACTGCTGCTTATTTCCTTACAATTTGGTTCTCTTTTAGGGTCTTTTCCCCTCCCCACCCACGTTCCGTCGACTCCAAGTCTTGCACCTGGTGGTTTATCTCACTTTAATTGATTTTGTTCCCTTGCTTCCCTTCCTATCGCTGGAAGCAATATTTGTATCCTATCATCTATCCTGGTTGATACCAGATATGCTGCGGTAATCCGGGGTTTATCGCAGGAAGGTTCTAAACTGGAACCCAGCCCAACAACGGAACAGCAACGAAGCCATTACACTCGCGATTACTGAATTTGAGAGTTCATACCCTTGACGGGCACTTCTCAAGGGTGTCAATAAAGGGAGGAAATCAATTTAAAATCACCACACCATCTCGAAACAGTTCGGGACCGTTCAATTGACATCTCTTACCACGAATTTTACCGGAAGCCCGCGGAGTCGATTCAACACCGGCAAATTTACAACACCCATCTTCAGAACAAGCTGCCCTGCAAATTGTTTAACAGTTGTGATCCTTGGGTAGAAACCCCATAATTACAGAAAAGAAAAAAGCCACGGATAGGTGGCAAAGAAGAAAAGAACGACGCCAACAGCATAATGTGTCGCCAATTCTTCACCATCTATGAATGGTGCCATTGCGAAGAGGATAACGGTCACGAGCTTTGCGCAGCCCGCAGACGAGACATGTGTCCGGGAACCTCAATTGAAACGGTCCATATGCAGTGCTTCTGCCATCAGCATGCCAGCAGAGGGTTCAAATCTGAGAAAAAGGCCCAGAAGTCAAACGGCTCTTCGATTGATGAGAAGGGCTCGTTCACTCCACGGAGGAAATGGTATCAGATCTGTGGCGGACGGTCACGGACGTACTGAGGTGTCTTGAACTCACCTCCTTTACGGTATCATATGCAGATCAATGGCTGGTTTCTTTTGGCTTTGCATCATCGAATTCTCGTGTCTGGGTTAGGGTTGGTTCAATATTTTTGTTTTGGGGGCGGGTGTTTTCATGGATTCATTGGGACCGGTGTTTGGTTAGGTTTTTGGCGTTACTTCAGGTGATGATTAGGGGTGTTATGTCCTCTTTCTTTTCTTCTCTTTTCTTCTCTTTTCTTTTTTTTTTTTTTCTTTTTGATATCTCTGGGAAGGCCTCTGTGTCTCTTGAATGAAACCTGTCAGAAATACAGACGATGGTTGGGTCAATTGTAGCCGGCTAATGCGGGTCAGTTGACATGTCTCCTTGAGTCTTCATATGGATTGAATAAATATAGTAACACAAAAGCCTATTGTTGCTATTGTTTTGGATGAGTCACTACACGAATTAATAGTAGATATAGGTAGGGACTTGTATGGAAATGAGCCAGGGAAGGTGTCCTCAACCTTTACAGATATCTTTTCGCAACTAGGGGCTACCATGCGATTTCCTCAAGCGGGTGATACTTAGTCTATACTAGGTAATGAAGACTGACGGTTTTGATTATTAAACGTGATTGATCGGCCTTCTGTGTCTTGACTAAGCTTCCGAGCAAGTCTAGGTCATATTCCTACATTATCGTAGGTCTTCGTTCATTACTGAGCTTTTTACCCTTATTTGTTCCCTTTGACAGCTCTTGTAGAACCACATTCTAGGGTACCCCATTCCACTGTTTGAAGAGACCACTATAATTGATCGCAATTAGAATCAATTTCCCCCCCCCCCCCCCGGAACCTCATATACTTATGACGTACCCCTGACGAGTTTTATTTGACTCTAAAGTATTTCTGTAGTAGAACTCTATATAGAGTAATGTCTGGCTCAGTGTTTACTACACACCTAGTGTCTCGATATGGTTCAATAAGATTTATAATTATGTCCTGGGGTGGCAGTGGTAGGAGTTTATTTTCTTCTACACTTCATTGTTTATGAGATGCGCTCTTTTGAATGGGACAATAGCAGCAATAAACTGGCGACATCATTTGAATTTCGGCATACGCCATCGGAACCCGTAGTGCCACTTTTATTTTGTAATTGAGGGCAGATGGACCAACAATCTAGGATCCCCGCGAATCGGCAGTCATGTAGTACACAATAATGAAATCGTATGCCCCTCATTCAGCATTTGGGCTATTGGGGTCTCTCGAACTGTCCACCATCTTGAAACAAATGTAAGAGCAAAAGGTGTTAGCTTCGTGTGTAATCGGGACGGTATAGACAATCTGGGTAATATATCAGGTATATTTTCCCTACATACTCGGGCTTAGTATGCCGTGGTCTACCTTTCCGGAGAACCTGCCTACCTCTTTCTTTTCCATTCGTCTCATGAGGGAGAATCCAGAACAACATCAGCCATGCAAGCATTGTCAACTCTTGAAAGACTTAGATAGCAAGCATTATAATCCATTTGACCTATCCTGTACCAATATCTGGCATTTAAGGAATATACAATGTCACCGGAAGCAAGGGATCGCAGTCTCACCACCTGCAGCATCAGACAGCGCATATCAATTAGCTGAAAATGAGGCGTCTCGGCGAGTCCACCACCACACTCCCCCAAGTTACGATAACAGGACTCTTAACCGGAGTAGAATAAGAAAACCCAGAAAAATACTAGCGATTGCTGGATCCAGAGACCTGTCATCCTACTAAAAAAAAAAAAAAAAAAAAAAAAAAAAAAAAAAAAAAAAAAAAAAAAAAAAAAAAAAAAAAAAAAAAAAAAAAAAAAACCAAATGTACTAATAGGTTAAGAGAATAGAAGAACAATTAAGTATAATATTAAGATGATTTCTTGCCTATTAAATGATATAATTAATCAGACCACCTGCTCAGAGTTCTAGTATCTCTCAAGATGAACTGGCAGATAGATTAACACAGTCGCTCAGCTGGGAGCCCTTGGTACGCTCCGAAACCATACAGAAAGGTCACAATTCGGTGATCTTTTTACTGTAACTTGATTTACGTATTGTACTGAGATTGAAGAACATACAGAGGGACATGGAATAACGAAAATCTCAAAGATCGAGGGCTCATTCATATGTTGCCCAGAGAGACAATTAGGGCTTGCAGACTCAGCTGAGTTCAGGGATACTACCGCGGCTGGGTTGTCTCAGGGGCTAGTAGATGATGTGGGACCAGTTCGGAGGAGCAACATGGTTCCCTGGTTAAGAAATAGAGGCTTCTTTGACAGGGCGTATGACGCAAACGTTGCTTGCGTTCCTCCTTCGTCCACTGTGTTTTGGGTGTGGGGGGTTATCTAGGAATTCAGAGGGTGCCTCCTGTACTAGTAGTGTTGTTGTTATGGAAGTCTACCATGGTAACTTAATCAGTTCATGGCATCAACGGATATTGCTGCGGAGAAATTGATCGAGAGATATTATAGAGTAAAACCACGCGGTCTTTTAAGTAATGAATGCCCTTGATATAGTTAGTTATCTATCTGTCGTGAAGAATGAAAGGGGAGGTTGAGAGAAGAATGGAGGATCGACTGCCCCTTACCCTATCGGGGGGAGAAAGTTTCAAGGGATCCAACAACGAGAACTAAAACAACACCTGTTTGTTCTCCCTACTCTTTGTTTTTGTTTTCTACCTGCTACTTTTCTTTCTTCTGATCTTATCCTGGTCTTATTGTTTGACTCTCGATTGTCTACTATCTTACCACCAGGAAGATAAAACAAAAACAAAAACAAAAGTACAAGCAACGCTAATACAGCCACACCCTTTCCCCCAAATGAACCTACTATTTGCGTCATGGACCCCTCCAAGCGCGACGATCCTCCAACTGCATCATTCACTCCCACCTCGGACGCACTCGCGTCGCCAACTCCCACCAACGATCCTGTAGACGGTTCGCATCGCATGAACAATGTGTCAATGCTGGCGACACCTCTCCCGGTTTCTCCCTCCGGATTTTCCTCTTCCTCTTCTCTCTTATCCCCAGCAAATGCCCCCGCGCGCTCTACATCCCCTCAGGCGCATACGGCGCCTCGGCGCATCTCTAGCTCCAGCTCCCTGCGCGATGAACATCGAAGCTCCAGTCTAAAGAAGCGTTCGTCCACCGCGTCGCTGCGATCGGTCCGCAACGACAGCCGAACCTCAATCTCTCCTCACCGTAGTGTATCGCAACACTCATCGTCGTCACTTTCAAGCTCTCCTACCGCCACCACGCCAACCACTTTGGGTAATCCCAACATGCTGTCAAAAAAGTCGGGACATGCCAAAGCAAATGAGCTTCCTACACCAACAGCTGCCTCTATCGCGACAGACCATTTCCAAAAAGAGGTGGAGTTGCACCAATCCACTGACCTACGGTCTCAAACCCTTGTGGTGATCCATGATGCCTGTTATGGCCACCGCTTTTCACGTCCCCGTACCTCCAGGGCAGCTCTGGGCTCGATCGTCGAAAGACCAGAGCGTATCCAAGCTAGTGTCTTGGGTGTGTCTGCCGCTTATGTGCGTCTTGCTCACCGGTACGAAGGGGGCAGGTTCACACCCCACCCAGACATGAACCTGGACGATCTCCCCGTACCACCATTTCAGATCTGCAGAACGGCACGGTCGATGGCACTCAGCTCACCAGCAGTGACGCATGTACATGGTTCCAGATGGATGGACGATCTAAAAACCATGTGTGACGCGGCGGAATCCCGACTTGCATTGAACGGCAAGGAGCTGGTCCGACCCCCGAGTGCAGGAAAGGACGGCGCCATGGAAAACCCGCCTTCGCTTCATGAAGGCGACCTTTATCTGTGCTCGGAATCTTTGAACGCATTCGAGGGAGCTTTGGGGGGTGTCTGCGAGGGCGTGGATGCCGTCTTTGGCCCCAAATCGACAAAGCGCGCGTTCGTGTGCATCCGGCCCCCGGGTCATCATTGCTCGTCGGACCATCCGTCGGGGTTTTGCTGGATTAACAATGTCCATGTAGGCATCTCCTATGCTGCTATGACCCACGGTTTGACTCACGCCGCTATCCTGGACTTTGACCTACACCATGGCGACGGTTCGCAGGAAATCGCATGGGAGCAGAACCGCAAGGCTGCGGCAGCTCCCCGGAGTGCAGCAAACTACAAGAAGACCGCTATTGGGTACTTCAGTCTTCATGATATTAACTCGTATCCTTGTGAAATGGGAGAGCCGGAAAAAGTGCGCAACGCAAGTGTGTGCATAGATAAAGCACATGGTCAGTCGATTTGGAACGTCCATTTGGAGCAGTGGAAGACCGAAGCTGAATTTTGGGACCTTTACGCATCCAAGTATGCGGCGCTGATCGAAAAGGCGCGTGCCTTCCTACGCTTTCACACGGAGCGTCTTGCTAGTACTCCCAGTGGACCTTCACCTGTTGCAGCTATCTTTATCTCTGCTGGCTTTGATGCAAGTGAATGGGAAGGGGCGGGAATGCAAAGACACAAGGTGAATGTGCCTACCGAATTCTACGCCAGGTTTACTGCGGATGTCGTGCGGATGGCGGAGGAAGAAGGTCTGGGTGTTGGCGGAAGAATCGTTAGCGTTTTGGAGGGAGGTTACAGTAATCGCGCTCTGACAACGGGGGTTTTGAGTCATCTGTCGGGGCTAGGGGACGCGACCTCGTGCCTGATGTCTGGCGGAGTGGATGACAAGGCCGATCGTTTAACTGCTGAGATGACGAGTCGCTTGGGCTTGCTTGATATCTCAGCTAACGTCCAACACTGTTCAACTCTGCCGGCTTATGACAGCGGGTGGTGGTCGCCAGCTCTGTTAGAGGAGCTAGAGGCATTGGCATATCCACCGCCAGCACTGAAGCCTCGCGAGAAGTCTACACCAACTTACTTTGCTCCTACCCAGTCATTTACCGCGAAGGTGGTCACTACGCCTCGCGATCGACGATCAACCGGTTCCCAGATCAGCGTGGAAGCCGATGCGCCGCCATTGCCGCCTGTTAGTTGGGCCACCGCAACGCATGAACTCTCAAAAATTCTTATCCCATGTCATCGGCAAACGACAAGCTGTCGACCAGAAGATCTCAACGCAGAAGCCACACGCTTGCGACGGGAACGTCAAACGGCTGCCCAGCACACTAGCATCCCTTCGACTGGGAATGAAGAAAGTCGGATGAAGCTCCGCGCGAGGAAACCCAAGCCTCCATTACCCGAAACCCCGAATACAGAAACATCGACGCGGCAGGCCGTTAAAAACAACCGAAGGACCACCATCGAACGTGCCAGTGACCTGCCAGACCCGTCCTTCGATAAATCTCCCAACACGCGCAGCACAACCCGTAGAAAGAGTGCCGTTTCCACGATAACATCAACCCCGGAAAACAAAACCCCAGGCGATAAAACTGTGCGCTCCGCGTCAGCAGCTAGCACGCGCAGGCCTGGTAGCTCTCGGTCTGCGACTCCTAAGCGCGCCTCGAGCCCCAAAACGACACCTCCCGTGCCTCGGGTCCCGTCCGTATACACGAATTTGCCTGCAGGCGAGGGAGCAGTGATCACGCCTGTTGAATCGCGCTCGTTATCAGGGGGCACACCAGACAAACCGCAAGATGATGTGGATAGTCTGGCAGCAGGTGTTCGAAAACTCAACATCAAACTGAAAGTACCGTCCCCTGAGGAACATGCCGCCCGGGAAAGGGAACGCGAGCGACAGACTTCCAGGAGGGTGTCCAAGACACCTAACCCCTCCAAAAAGTCCTCGGGCACAAAGGGATCGAATGCTCCCGTCAACAAAATGGCATCTCGTTCAAACACGGCTCCTGTAAGACCCGATACAGAGGATCCTCTCGTATCGTTGCCCACAACCACCGGTGTGGTAGCCGAAGGATCCGAACTCCTTAGTGGGACTGTCTTGGATAGATCCTTGGTAATGTCCACGGCGATCCCATCACAGACACTTCCTCCACAGCTGGCAATCTCTCCTCCTGTCACGCCGGGAGCCACGCATGACAGTACGCGCCCTCAACATGGGTTGTACTCTCCACCGATATCTGAGTCCTCTGTCAAGGCAGGCATTCCGGTGTTTACATCCAACAGCCCTATTCCTTTTGCACCAGCAAGCGCTCACGACGAGACCGCTCCACACACGAGCCACAAGCCACCTACTTAACTTGCTCCGCAGCATTGCTTCTAGCCTATCCAACTTTCGATCGAAAATACCGTTTAATAATCTTGTCCGGTTCTGATTTCCTCCGTTTCTGCGAATTTTACTTTGTCATATGATTCACACACTTCTACCCCTGACCCCTTGCAGGCAAGATTACATAACCCTTGACTTCTATTACACGTTGGTGATATACCCCTTTAGCTGTTGGAGTCTTTTGAATCTAAGTGCGGATTGAATTGCTAATCCATCTTGTAAATGTTCCCAATGACATGAGTAGACCAGCCTTATCGCCGATCTCCGAGATCTGATAAGCATGCTCCACGTGCCTGCGCCACCGCCCTGATGAATAAGCACTCTCTCCGCAGGTGCTGGTGCCTTCTAGTCCTGTCTTCTCTTTCTTGCTTTTCTAATCTCACCTTCAAAAAAGTTTTATAATTATTTGTCGGCCGGAGGCAGAGTGGCCTCTTCTTACTCTGAACAGCTACTTGCATAATCTGCCTTTGCCATGGCTCCCATTTCCATGTCCAAAGATGGGCCCTCGCCGCAGGAATCTTTCACGCAAATGGCCGACAAAGATCTAGAATCGATCGGGCGACACTGTCAATTCGACTATTGCAACCAACTCGATTTCCTTCCATTCCGCTGCGAGTCCTGTCGTGGGACCTTCTGTCTTGACCACCGGACGGAAACTTCGCATAAATGCCCCAAAGCCGGTGAATGGGCTCGCCGACGAAACGCTCAGAACGCAAGCCCCGGCACCAGTCTCCCTACGCAGAAACCCACGATCTACAACTCGGACCAATGCGCGCATCTCGACTGCAAAACTCTAATCAACACAATGAAGGACCCGGGCGTTCGATGCCCCAACTGCAACCGCCAATACTGCCTGAAGCACCGACTCCGGGAGGAACACGACTGCGCCAAGATCACCCCGCTGGGCGGCCGGCCGGCCGCCGCAGGCTCCAACGCCAACGAGACGCTACGCTCCATGTTCGCCCGGGTCCGCACATGGGGCAAAGATAAGAGTCACGCGGCGGCCCAGAGTCTCACGCCGACTCCGAAACCGAATAGTCCGGCGGCGCGGGCTGCACAGCTGAACACACTCAAGAAGTCGGCCAAGGGCGACGCCAATGTTCCCGCCGACAAACGTCTCTATCTCCACGTGGTCGGCACATCGGATACGCAGAGTGTAGACCCGCCGAAGGGCGACTTCTACTTCGATAGCCGGTGGAAGGTCGGGCGGGTTCTGGACGATGCGGCGCGGCGACTGCGGGTGGAGAACGTGAACAATCGTGCGGAGGAAAAGGAGCGACTCCGGATCTACCATATCGAGTCGGGGGAGTTCCTCGAGTTCTCGGATGCAATCGGAGCCGGGAAGGTGCAGTCTGGACATACCATCGTCTTGATGAGGGGTGCGGGTGTGATGCTGGGGAAGTAGATCTAGGTTTGGGGGAAGAGCTCTCATCTTACTACCCCCTGCACCTTTTTGATTTTCTTATACTTGGATTTGGTGAGAAGTTATGATACCATCGCATTGTTTGGTGATTGTCGTTAGGATTATGCATCAGCATGCAGGCGTTCCGGAGCGTTTTTCCAGACGGAAAGATGAAGATTAAATGGCAGCTCGTGGAGCAATCTCTATATAACTGACTCTATTTATTTTGTCGATCACATCAAATACATACGCTCATGAATAGCCCATCTTTTGACCGAGAGTAATAAGCAAAGGAAAAAAAAAATAAAAATAAAAATAAACAGGTATATAACGCACGAGAAGAAAAGCATAGAAAGCAAGTGTTAACTAAACGCTCATCTTCATCTTGATAGCCTTATGAGGGTTATATCCGACGACCTCCAAATCCTCCGGCTTCCAGCCATCAACCACCCCACTACCCCGATCATCGCGACGAATCTTCAACTCCGGAAACTCAGTCGGCTCCCTCACCAGCTGCTCCTGCAAGGGCTCAACATGATCCAGGTAGACATGGGTATCACCCATGGCATGAACAAAGGTACCGGGATGCAAGTCCACGGCATAAGCGAGCATATGCGTCAAGAGAGCGTAGGAGGCGATATTAAACGGCACGCCGAGAGCCACGTCACACGAGCGCTGATAGAGCTGGCAATGGAGATGACCCTTCTGGTCTTGACCATTGGGGTAGGAGACGTAGAACTGGGCGAACATATGACAGGGCGGGAGGGCCATCTTCTTGAGATCGGCAGGGTTCCAGGCACTCATGATAATACGGCGGTCGAAAGGATTATGTTTCAACTTGTGCACGACCTCGGCGAGCTGGTCGACTCCTTGGCCTGTGTAGTCGGTTTTGGCGTCGACGTACTCGGCCCCGAAGTGTCGCCATTGGAAGCCGTATACGGGACCGAGGTCGCCTACGTCGCGATGGCCCAGGCCGACTTTGTCGAGGAACTCGCGGCTGCCGTTACCGTCCCAGATCTTGACGCCTTGGTCGGAGAGTGGCAGGGACGAGGTGCAGCCGGAGATGAACCAGAGGAGCTCGGCGACGACGGCGCGGAGGAAGACGCGTTTGGTGGTCAGGAGGGGGAGGACGGGAATGGGGTCATCGGCTGGGTTGGGAGCCGGTTTTGAAAGTGAGAAGCGGAGCTGAGGGGGTGCGAAGATAGAGCGTGTGCCTGTGCCTGTGCGGTCGGGTCGGTATTCGCCTGAGGCGAGGATCGTGCGAATGAGGTTGAGATATTGGTGTTCTTCATGGTTGGGGTTGTGTGCTGGGTTCGGTGTGCTGCCGTTGCTTGTGCCAGTTGATGGTGTCTCAGCGGAGGGTGACATCTTTGCTGGTATCTTCTGATATTAAATGTGAAAAGCGGTTGGTATTAGGGGCTCTGGGGTGTGAGGTTCAATTGAGAGATTTCGGATCTGCTGTGTCGTCGCATCAAACGCGTCCGCGACGCGGCACGTGAGCACGTGATGGACTATTTTTGAGTGGTTTGCCGTTTACATGCTAGCTCTAGGGTCGAGAGATTCAGGTCATCCACGACGCCATGGTATATGCATTAGACGCTATCTATAATGCTCAAAGACATGATATATGCTATTAGTCTTCCATCAAATCAACGCCAACCCCCCGTAGCGCCCCCACTACCCATTCCGGGTACTTAGATTTTTCTCCATAAAGCTTGCTGAAGAACTCCCGTAAAAATGCCGGGAATCGGTCCTCCAAGATAGCCTGTCGCGCAGCGCCCATCAGGGAAAGTAGATAATGAACATTATGGATTGTAAGGCTGCTCGTGGTTAGCACAAAATCCTTAAAAGTGGGCGAGGCAGTCTTACAGGTGAGCGCCAACCGTTTCCTTGGCCGCTAAATGGTGTATGTAGGCCCGTGTAATTCCTAGACCACCCTGATCTTTGGGTCGACAGATGGTACAAGTGCAGCCTTCTTGCACTGGCCCGAAGTCCTGGGCAAAATTTTGGTTGCGAAGGTTGAGAGTGCCAGATGGGACCACCGCGTTTCCAAATCGCTAAATTCGTCAACCAATGCCGAATTCTCTAGTAACCGATAATGGGAGCCTTACAGCTGTCCTCGTGGGCCAAACGCAGTCAAACATGTCCGCACCGAGTGCAACTCCTACAATCAAGTCCTCGGGGTAGCCCTGAGAGCACGTTAGGCAGCGCTTAAAATCGGCTTTGGATCACTTACGACACCCATCACATATCTCGGTTTCTGATCCGGAAGAAGCCCAGTACAAGTGTCGACCCTATGAACGTTAGCCGAAACTCGGCTTTAAAAGAAGCGAGTGGTTGAAGGAGGGATAGGTATTGACATACACTTTACAGAACTCCTCCTTAGCTTCTCCTCCGGAGAGTCCGCCGATGGCAATGCCCGGGGTATCTCGCGCTACCATCTCAGCGCAGCACTTCCTCCGCAATTCTAAATCCAATCCTCCTTGGATGATACAGAACAGGTTTTGTCTCTCGGGGTACTTGTGCGCGTCGATGCACCGATCCAACCACCGCACCGATCGCTCCATGGCCTCCTCAATCCTCGCGTGGTCCGGCGATGTGGTCGCGATAACATCATCGAGCTGCATGATAATATCCGAGCCTATCGAGTTCTGCAGGGAGATAGAGTGTTCCGGAGTGAGCAGCCTAGTTCGCAGTTATTAGGTATATCCTCGAGGATCTGGGGATGAAACGGTTGGGGAGCTTTGTACATAGGTGTACCATCGTGAGGGCTAAGGAATCGAACACCCTCCTCCGTGACAGTAGCAAGTTTGAGCAAGGAAACCATTTGAAAACTAGGGTTCATGTCAGATTTCGCTTCGCGCATATAACATCACCGCCTCCTCTTTGGGATATATCACAACCAACGCACCCGCCACTATCGGTAAGGATATTTCGATCCCAGCCCTGCAACTTATGCGCACCGCCCACCTCGTCCAAGACCGCCTGCCCAGGTTTCAACCCCAAATGGTAGGTGTTATTCAAGCACAGCATGCATCCGGTCTGCTTTAGCTGATCATACGTCAAACCCTTGAGGGACGCCTGCGTCGCAACCGGCATAAAGATCGGAAGAGGAACGGAGCCATGAGGAAGATGCAGAGTACTGGCACGAGCTTTCGTGGTCTATAGCATATTGAGGGAACTGTTAGAACCGGACGAGAAACTATCAACTCGAACGACGGATGCAAGCTACAGCTTACTGAACATTTTGTATGCAGATCGAACTTCAGTGCAGAAGGCATAGGCTTGCGCGGCGCAGAAGTGGCCGGTGCAGACGTTGACATCTTTTCGATTCTTGCCCCGCTCAGGGTCACGGAGGGGAGCGTACGGCGTCGCGAAGGGATCGTCGCGCTATAAAGGCTATGCAACGTTTGTCTAGTTAAAGAAGGCCGAAGGCATGTCATCAAGAGAGTCGTACTGTCAAAGTGTCAATTCGAGGCACGAGACCGCAAAACCGCAACGATTCATTATCGATAGAGAGCAACTAAATGTTCTGCCGATCAGGGCTGTTTGTACAGTTTGTACAGTTTGCAGTGTCTTTGTTGGTGTGTCTGGTAATTACGTACCATACTGTATCGTACAGGACGGTACCCCACATCGCATCCCCATAGCCGACTAAATAAACTACTCTGTGGAGGAATCTTAGATCTCCTTGTCTCTCGATTGAGCATGATTAATGGCTAGGCAGACAACTAGTCTACAGATTTAATGGCTCTTTCCCCTCCTTGAAACTACTCTTTGTGCCTCATATCATCCTAATATCCTGACCAGGTCTTTCCTATTCACCGCTAGACCAAGCATGCTTACCATCGGCAACGACCGACTTTACCGAGCAAGCTGGACATGTCCACCTAACGCGCTAATCGGAGATTGACCGACTCTGGAAGAGGTTGTACTCTGCACCGTAACTTTCCCTAGCGAAGTTTTTCCCGGCTATTTGGGTTTGGTTCCTGCGGGGGTTGCAAATCCTTCCTGATTCAGAGAAGTCATGGCATAACTTAAAAGATCTTGTCACTCGGGGTCGCTTGGCCTTCACCATCTGTTGCAGGAGGACCAGGGTTTGGCATCATGGACGAGAAAGAGAAGTACCACCAAGCTGCTGAGAATGCCGACCTAGAGAGGGATTCCGAGGTATGACAACATAAGAGGAAACGCCCCCCGGCTGTCATACTAATTGATCCGCCATTAGAATCTCCACGGTCGGGATATTGATAACCCTCGTGAGAGAGCTTTGGTCTGGAAGCAAGATCTACGGATCCTTCCACTATGCGCCGCGATCTACCTTCTCTGTTATTTAGATCGATCTAACATCGGTAGGTCGCAAGTGCTACAATTGTTCACACTCAGTCTCTGCAGGGCGACATGATGTAGGTGGTCAGGTAACTAATCGGGGTACAGGAAATGCCAAAATTCTCAATGAAGACACGGGCAATGATCTCCTCACAGAGACTAGAATGACTTCGTACCAATACACGTATGCCAATTCCAGGTTGATTCCGTCTTCTCACTAAGTAAAGAAACAGTATAGCGCTGATGGTATTTTTGATCGCCTACGCCCTCTTCGAGGTCCCATCAAATTACTTCCTGAAGAAGCTAAGACCAAGTGTAGGGCACTGAAACTGTTACAAGAACCTGAGCTCAGACATTAACATTACTTAGAAATGGATTGCTTTCTTGATGCTGGGCTGGGGTGCATCCACCATGGGCTTGGGTGGCGCACATAATTACGCGCAAGTCACTGGTATTCGTTTCTTACTAGGAGGTACCTAGATGTGTAGAGCCCTCACGAGCCATCCTGTCTCATAGACGAAATCTAACCCGTACTCTCACAGTTATGGAAGCGGGTCTCTTCCCCGGACTTGTTTACTACCTGACTTTCTGGTACCGGAACTCAGAGCGCTCGATGCGTGTGGCGCTCATTCTCGCATCAGCTACCTTGGCGGGAGCCTTCGGCGGAGCAATTGCCTATGGCGTCGGACACATGAATCAAACTCACGATCTATCTGCATGGCGATGGCTATTTATCATTGAAGGAGCCCCTTCCTGTGCCTCTGCCTTCCTGGTCTGGTTCTTTCTTCCCGATTACCCCGAAACTGCGTCATGGCTCAGTGCAGAAGAAAAGGAACTCGCGATGCAGCGACTGCAGAATGAGGGCTCAAAGGGAGCTGCGCATGCCATGACCTGGGCAGATGCTAAGGAGGTCCTAACGGATTGGCGGTTATACGCCCATTATATGGTGCGTCTGTCTTTGGTGTCCTGGAACATGTTTCCGGCTAGTATCTGACCTAACATGGCCTTTCCCTTGGCATGTATAGATCTATTTTGGCATTTCCACCCCTTTTTCCAGCCTCTCACTCTTTACGCCCGCGATTACAAGTGGGCTCGGGTATACCAGTCTGCGCGCTCAGCTCATGACAGTGCCGCCATGGGCTGTAGCATACGTAGTCACCACAGCAGCAGCCTGGTCGGCAGATCATTTCAATAGGTACGCCGTGTACATCCCCAGACGTGGTAAATTCAATTTGGTCTAACTCGGAGTGACTGGTCTCCAGCCGCGGCCTTCATTCGGCGGCATTCTCCTTCATCGGGGCCATGGGGTTCCTAGCATCTGCCGTTCTCCCACCGGACGCATACCTTGTACGTTGACCGCGCCTCCTTACCGACTTTTATAGTTCGTACTAATCCCTGCTAGCACCGCTACGGCTGTCTGATAGTAGCCACCAGTGGTGCCTTCGCCTGTATTCCCCCTCTTCTCGGCTGGCTCTCTTCCAACCTCCGCTCAACAGCCGGAACCGGCCTTGCGATCGCATTAAACGTGTCGGTCGGAGCTCCGGGGCAGATCGTGGGCGTGTGGATTTATAAAGCCAACGAAGCGAAGAGGGGTTATCCGACCGGCCACTGGACCAACGCGGCGCTGCTTCTGTTTGTCTGTGTAGGTTGTCTCTTGTTGCGAGTATATTATGGATGGAGGAATAAACGGAGAGGAACGGAGGATAAATTTGCGTATTAGGAAGAAAAGAAAAGATTTTTTTGTTTTCGGTCCTGCTTTTTCGCCTTTCGTTTCTTTGTTCCTTCGTGGTTTGGGGGGGACCACCGAAACAATGGAAACTAGAACCGTTGGATCGGCAGTGTATAGCGGATGAGGGAAATTAAAGTCGGACGAACCATGGTACGCGGCACGTGAACAGAGAAATAAGGTTAAGCTCAGGGCATGACATGGCGGGATCCTGAAACTTGTTCCAGAGATTTGGGTCTGGGAAAAGGATGGGTGGTTCGACTTGTATACAACCTGTCCCGCCCTAGATTTGTACCTTAGCAGGAGTCCACCTTCAGACATCGTATATCTTTTCAGATCTCGGAAGAAATCTAGAGCGAAGTGGCCGCCCAGAAACGATACTAGATGAATTTTCTTTAATAATAATAATAGTTATAAAATGAGGGGTACAAGACGGTAACGATCCACGGGCAAGTTACCTTCCAGCCCACTCTAAGTATCTCCCTTCCCAAGGCGAACAATAATGAAGAGCACAGCTCAATTCTAGGAGATCTTGAAAGACAAGCTTTCAATCCTAGAAAAGTCAGTTCTCCTGCGGCATTCAACCGTCTATCCCGCTCGGATTCCCATAAACTCAGCAAACGAACATACTCCGTACCTGCGTTATGGATTATTATCCGCGAGGAATAGGCACGGAGGCCGGAGTGAAAAAAAAAATATGAGGGAAAAAAGCGCACTTCTGTAGAGTACGAAGATCGGAGAAAAAAAAAAAAAAAAAAAAAAAATTCAAATTTGTTTGTTGTTCGTCATAAGGTAAAACATGATCTGATCTGATCTGATCTGTCTGTCTGTCTGTCTGTCTGTCTGTCTGTCTGTCCGTCCGTCTGTCCGTCTGTCTGTGTGTGTCTGTCGTCAAATATAATCGTGCCATAATACCCGTACGCAACCTGGACCGTCTGTATAATAGACAAGGGAAAATAAAAGTAGAAGAGCTAAATCAGAAAGAAAGGAAAAAAGAACAAGACGAAGGGGGGAAAAGTAATACCAGCACCTTCAAACATGACAGTCAACTGAGCCATCGTCTGAGAAAGCTTGCACCCAAGAAGAAAAAGAAAATCATGAAAGTCCAAACAGGACATCCGAGTAGAGCAGGGCAAATGAACCTGCAAGCATCCTTGTGCTTAAGGTCGTAACACCACAGAGGGAAAGGCAATATCTGCATTCTTATACTCTGTGCGCCCCTAATCGTACCCTTACCCCACCTGGGTGTTGCCAGAATGTCTGCATTGTAAAATCAAAGATGCATAGGTCGACAGCCGGAGATGTTGTACACGTCTGCAAAACCGAATTCGAAGAGCTCTTTCGAAGCGAAGAGGAAAGAGAAAGGGAGAAAGGGAAACAAAAACCGGAATGAACGGCAAGGTCGAAGCACCGTCAAAAAAGAAGTTACAGCCACCCAGAAAGCCCGGAGTGTCGCTCAGCAGCCCTGGTTTGCGTATATTTGACCCAGGTAACTGGTGTTACCACGGGGCGTCTGTGGACAGAGTACTTTCAGGGCTTTTTCGGCAGCATCTTCTTTGGCATTATTGAGGTGATCGCCGTCGTACCAGAATTGGGCCGGATACTCCTTTGCTTGGACCCTGACGACGCAGGACCAAGCCGTGCGTTTACCTGAAGAGAAAAAGTTACAACCCCGTTAGTGTACGGTACCACTGAGTTTCGATTGCAAAAGTCGGTGAAGTCGACTCCACTCTGTGCGTGCCGAGACAGTTTTCGACAACAAAGAAGGCTTTCTCATACTAGCAGAATACAACGGCGGAGAGGGCTATAAGAGAAAGGCAACGGAAGAAAAGAGTCCATACCTCGTGATTCGGTGAAAATGTTAAATACGGGTTCTGAGAGTCTATGGTTCTTGCAGTAGACTTGTCGGGGACCATTAGCATATGGAAATGACATCCTCTCGAGAATTGCTGCAAAGTGGGGCATACTTTTAAGTTGGTCCTGCCAACTCGTCCGAAGAGCACTCGCATTATTTGCTGGCGGCACTGGCATATTGAATCGCGATTCTCTTGTCAGAGGGACGGGGCACGTTTTGCAGAGTTGAACTCTTGGGCTCTTCTCCGGGAAACGAAACACTGGTTCTCTCTCAAGAACCTGGTCAGGGGTCACGGGTCAGGGTGGAGTGCGGATTGCCTTTGCGCAGGTAACGGAGATGCGTAAAGGAAGGATGAAACTAATTGACCTGTTGGAAAACTTTTTCCTGTTTTTCCCTCTTGTTTAACGGTTGACCTTTATTATCCTCTTGTCAATCCAGACAGTCTCAATAGGTATGGGAGGCAGGGAGTCATATAAACTGTGGGCCATGCTTTTTTTTTAAGGGAAAAAAAATTTAGCAAGGAAAAAAACAAAAAAAAAAAAAAATTATATATTCCCCCTCCAAAGCGTCACTGTGCAAGACAATTTTTGGCGTGACAAACACGGAACCTAATCAATAAACCTAACAGGCGGGCTTATGCATGTCGCTGTGGACATGGCACAGCGTCAGCAAATTTCCCCCCCCCCTCCTTATCCTCCACTTAAGAAGCGCCAGTTGCATGGAGAACCTGCGGATCATCTTGAGGCTGCAAGCTGGAACGGCCCGGCGCACGCCGACTGAGAATGTACCCTTGAAGAAACGCCTGAATACCAGGATAGAAGGCCACTAGTCTCCACACACACGCGCGCGCACGCCAGATCCATGGACTGACACAAAGGCCCAGCGAGGCACTTGTTGTACAAAAGCGACGTGCTACTTCCAATACGTTGGACAACTCAGAGCCATTCATCTGTGTCCGGGTTGTGCCATGGTGACCATTGACTGAGCTACCTCCTTTTATTTTTTTTGTTTCCCTTATCCGGTAAACTGTGTTTTACCATCGGGTACAAACCAGCCGTTTGCCTCATGGAAAGCTCCTCAGAAAGGGAGGGGAAAAACCTCGTTCTGGAACGGATGGATAGTGGAGGGGTATGGTCTAAAGTCGTTGCCCAAAAGCGGAGAGAGGGGCCCATAGGACAAAAAAGCAACGAATTGAAAGCAGGATCGGTTCATGTCAACTGTGTATTTGAGCCACTCATAGAACTGAAGGCGGGACCACAGGCCACAGTGCCAGCTCATCAATGACTTAATCAGGAATCAGGAAACGGAAACGGCTCATTAAAAGAAAGAAAAAAAAAATTCTCCTCAGCCCTGCGCTAAACAGTCATAGACCGGGCCGCTGTGCATGAACAATTGCTCTCTGGGAGGGGGAGGGTGGTAAGGGTTGTGAGTTCACAGGAGACCACGGACTCGCGGATATCAATATCACGGTAGCAAGAGCCAGTTCAACAGTTGACCAACGCGTACACGGTCTAACTGCAGGAAGCACAAGCGGCCAGCGAAGAAGGAATTGGGTCAGAATCTACCAGTCCAATCCCGGCGGAGAAAGGGCCATGATTCGCTGCATCCTTCTGGCACCGTGTTGTTGGGCATACATACGTGCATCTGTTCATTTCCCATGGTTGCGTCCACTATCGACATGAAAGTTGCAGCCAAACGAAGGTAAAGAAACAACAAATAGAAATCAGATGCGAATAGATAATTAATCGAGGCGGCACGTCCGCACTTCAGGAACCTGCATGAAAAGGAGAGGCGATTGATAATCGGCGTCAACGGGGAAGGGTGAAGCGCATCCACGAATCCCCTGTGGAAGTCGTTGATTCGCGCGGCACAATGTTTGGGACGAGCCTCGATCTGCCCCGCATCGGCCTCATCGACAAGCTTAATTGATCTCTGTCCACTCCCACGGGTAGCGAAAGGCTAGAACCATCGCTCAGACTTTCATTCACCCAAGTAAAACGCTAACTCGAGCTTCCGTGTCTTCCGCGGCGTCCATGTTGGTCCAATCAATCCGGTCCCCGTAGCAATCGCCCAATTCAGAATATCGTACTTCATTTTCCCCCTCCTCTTGTGTCCCAAGGCCAACATCATGGGGCCTGACTCGCTCCAGCACAGACAGGAGGACAAGTCCGGAAGCATTTAGAGACTATGGCAACAAACTTGTACAAAACGACTAACCGTTAGGTTCATGATACATGCATATATCTCCCAACCCCGACGCGCATGAACGCTAGGGGACTGGAGCCACCAAATGCAAAAAGGCCATACATACTGTTGATATTCCAAGAATAGCTATTTCGGGAGAAACAGAATCAAAGTTTAAGTAAGTTAACCACAGAGGAACAAGCATAAAGAAAGACGAAATGCACAAAGCGAGATTGGTAACCCAAAATCCAATCACATAAACCTCCCATTCGCTTTATAATGCACACTACAAGTTAAAATCACGCCGCTTTGAGTTTTCATTGCCGCCCAATCATGCTTGTGACAAAAATACACCGGGATATCAACCCAAAACCAAGTATTCCAGGAAGAAAAATGAGGAGAAGCAAAACATGACGAAAGAGGAAAGGGAGAAAAAATAAAAAAGAAAAGAAAAGAAAGAAAGAAAACGAATAGTTTTGTGTTCATATGCAAGCTCATCAAGATCATCGGATATTGGCTTCAATAAAAAGCGAATACAACAAATGCCCCCTTTCCGGCTGACATGACAACAACACGTCATTACTCATGGCTACCACCACGGGTCTCGTCCCCCGGGGCTGTGTGTTACTCGAGCTTATGCCGAGCCTCGTCGATGGAACACCTCACTCAGAAGTCGACGAGGCCCCATGAACTCCATGCTCCGGGTGAGTGAGGAGCGCACGGGGAACATGAGCTGGCCATGTTTCCTCGAGTGCCACCTGCGACGGATAGAATCATCAACTAAGACCATCAATCCTGTGACCACGATCATACTAGGCCTCGGGTTAGTAACCGTCCACAGCTCATTTTTGGCTCCACGAAGAATCACTTACTCGGCAACATCTGGCATCTTCTCATACACAGAGTCCTCGCTGATCCACATGGAGGATGGGGGAACCCAGCCACCCTTAGCCTGCTCCTCCACGGCTTCCATTGGAGTCAGGATTTCGGGAATCAGGTGGGCGATCGTCTTGGATGTCCGCAGGTCAATCAGATGAAAAGCCACCTCCTGCAGGTCTCCATCTCTTCGGTGTTCTCGCCTCCACTGGTATCTTGTACACCAATATTCGAATTCATATCGCTTAGACAAGCCGGCACCACGTCTTTTGATCTCAACGTGGGCATAATTCGAGAATTCCAGCATGACCGTATCAGCTAAGGGTTGATTGCGACTGTCCTGGACATCAAAGTCGTCGTCCTCTTCCTCCTCCTTAGCCGACTTCTGGCCCAGGTCCTGCCTCTTACGCTTGGAGCTATGCGTCGAATGGTCGCCACTGGAGCCTGGGCGTAAGCCGGCTAATGCACTGCTCAATGATCGTTGGAATCCTGGCCGCTTGTTTGGGCCTCCGGACGATATCGGTCTTCTTGCTGAGTGACACACCTCGCGCTCGGAATTACGACAGTAGCGGCGAAAAGAAAACTCCCTTGAGTACAAATCGTACATGCGGAGATGAAATAGTATAACGGCCTGCTGGTAGCCATCTCTGCGTGGCGCCAGGGTATGCACGCGAAGGTTCATGTTTCCATCAAGGGTCGTATCATCATGCCCGATCAGAAGCCGTCGCGAAGATGGGAACAATTTCCCGAAAGTGGAGGAATTAGAGGGAATCGCATCAGAAGGGAAAATATCTGACTCGGCCCCCCGAGTAACCACTTCATAGCGCGGCTTCTTCGGTAGTTCATCGTCGTGGCTCGTCGAGGCGTAGGTTGATACTGAATCTTTAGGGTCTATGTTCTCTCTCCGCTTTGATGTGGGCCGCTCGCTGCAGACCGTAGGGGCCGTGCTTTTCGAACGATCGGAAGCATCACTGTAAGTGGAGCTTGAACTTCCTCCCGTCCGCGCACTGTGCTGTCGCGAAGATACACTGTAAGATCCCATGGTGGCGTTTGAGTTCAAGGTGGAGGCACGGTCTGTAATGGAATTGAGAAATATATCACAGGTGGACAATGCCGCTTTATTCCAGTTGCACGGCAGGTCAGGTCTGGTCACGGGAGCAGTAAGGTGGTCGGGAAGGGTTTATCGTTGCGATAGGAATAAAGAAGAAGATAGTAGAAAAGCGGGTTAGATCGAAACGAAACGATATGATCATCAATATGTACTCCAGATTGCAAGGCCCATTCCAGTGGCTGATGGCTATTACTCAGATTGGGGAGCAGGGTATGTATGACCTATCAATCAATGACGGGGAACGCCTAGGGCTTACACCGAATACTGACAACACGAGGCAGAGGTAACTTGCCAACGATCAACAGGAGTAAGGTGATGCGGTCATACGATAAGGAGTTCGGTAGAAAGGAGGTACGGAATTAAAGAAATCCAACGAAGGAATATCATCATCAAGTAAGGTGATCAGAGTCTCCGACGACGAAGGAGGGGATTGTCAAGGGAGGGGTCAGTGTACATACCAGATGACGCCAAGCGGACTCCAGAAGCCTGGATCTGCGATTCAAGGAACAACCGGGAAACTAGCAAAGTACACGACAAGGCGGGGCCCAGAGACAAGGTAGGCGCGTGGCGCAGGGAATCGAGTTGAAACAGTGGGAGGGCAACGAAAGAGAATGGATCAAAGGGCTGAATGCGGTGGAAACGGAGGGAGCCACGTTGCTGACGCCTTTTAGTTCCTAAAAGTTGGAGCACTGTTGGTCAATGATGCCTTATTATTGTTCAATTATTTACTTACGGTGCCCATAGTGGAGAATAAAAGAAATCTTATTCTATTTTATTTTTTTTTTTATTTTTTCATCTTTATATCTCTCTCCTTTCGATTCCCAAAGTATGAGAGATAGGGAACACAACACCGGGAAGGAAGAGAGAACAATTCATCGGTCACAAAGAACGAGACACAATTGTTACTCGGATGAAAACAAACGGTTGATTATCTACCGTAGATCTTCATTTACAGTACTCTTGACTAATAGTGCACATATTTAGCAAACGATTTAGTCGATACTATACATTGGTACCTTAAAAATTCAAAAGATAAAAAGATCAAAACGGAAATAAAAGTCTAGATGGCATGCGTTTATTGGATGGATGATCTCATCGCCTCGTCTTGGGAATTTTAAACTCTCCAAGGGCATAGAAACTCAGCCATGCAAATGTTCTATTTTACTACGATGAAGACTCGATAGGGTTGCGATAGCCCTCAATTATTGCGACTAAATATAGTGACATATCAAATGAATCATGGTGATGTTGCACTTGACATGAAAGGTAAGGAAACATGTAATAAAAAATCAAAAATAAATAAATAAAAAGAAACGAAAAGAGAAGGAAAAGGAAATATATGAACCCCGCACAATTGGATCTCTTGAACGCCCGAGTACCCGATCTATCTACTACTAAGTAGGAACTATGGAAACAAATGCATAGATAATGATAATAATAATAATAATAATAACAATAATAATAATAATAACTACACGGCCTAACCCCCACTATTTTACTATTGTAGATACCAGGCTGACCGGGGAACGAAAATGGGTCGCAACCATTTCTTTCCCAAATCTACCTTTAGGCCGACAACTATTGATCTTCTCACCGAGAACTAACTATCTCACTAATTAAGAACTCTCTAAGACAGCAGTAAATTGATTCAATCCATGTAAGGGGTCGTGACCATAGGCAATGGCCGTGTGGCTTGCGATATTCTCCGACCCACCAACTGAAAGAGACCCTAACACGGAGTAATCCGGGAGATCGCTTGTTGGCCACAACTGTATACCACCACACATGTATTCTCCTACCTTCATGAGAAACCAAGGATGGTTGATTGCGTGATGCATTTCGGGATCTTCTGACCGGAATTACGCCCCTGCAGTCCTCTCCTGTGCATCCGAACACCCATTTCACATGCAGCGCAGACGGAAGAGCGATACCGTTGTCGTATCCCTGGGGAAACCTCCAGGGCTTCAAGATCACGCACATCGTTCCTATCGCATAATAACCATTGTCCTTTCATATTATACCTCACCAAGGAAGTTTCCCCTTGGAAATCACTAACACGCAGCAGCTATACCGCGGAATTTTTACGGAGTACAATTAGGACAGTTACAGTACCAGGGAAACCAACTGGGGCCCCGGGTATTCGGATCGGACCGAAGCCAGGTCAGTGCTTCCATAGTAACGGCAAACTCTTAGAACTATGGATGACTTTGGATGGCAATCACAGCTCCTTTTTTTTATTCTTTTTTTTTTCTCTGTTCCTATTTCTTTCTAAAGTTGCCGTCCATTTTACCTATTCCAAGTCAAGTATGACCAGGCATTTGTGCCGGCGGTAACCTAGCCTCAATGATGAAAACTCCAAGGTATGTATATATGTACTATGACTCTAGAGTAACCTGCTTTCACAGTGTATCCCCAGAGAGCCAACAGCCTCCTAGACCCGTTGAGGATTAGCTTCTGAGCATTTAGAACGTCCCCTCAGCCAGTGATCTGGACGAAGTATCCTGTTTAATGGAACCCGCTCATGCATATGACGCAATGAAAATGTACTACAATGAAAACCGGAAGAGCAACGGATTTCTAACCATTTTTACTGATATCATCATGGTAGCTGGCGGGCAAGGAGACTAGCAACCTGGTCTCATAGGAATTATTGGAGACATTTGAGTTCTACCATATCCTTCGTAAGGTGGATGCCACTGCTGACCTGGGGCTTATCTAAGAGTCGCTATTCCGGCAAGGTGGCGGAGATTTTCTAATCGTACATGGTAGAGCGAGTCACGTCCTACCAGTGAGAGCGCGTAGTTCGTACGGAGATTCTAGGCTTATTCTAAAAGCCCCATAGTAGATTATACAGTACATTATTTCCTAGCTTGAGAGGTCACGAGCTGTATGCAACCAGACACGGAGCATTCTGATATTGCAGGATCGAGAAATAACTTATGTATACCTCAAATCGTCACATCCACAACCCATTCTAGTAACATTGACAAAATGTATGAAACACTACTAAAAGACTGCCCAACATCAGGTTCACACCCCTCATATATACAAATCTGCAGTCCTGGTAGATTGGGGGGGCAGACAGTACTGGTATCTGGGAAACTGGGATGACTCTCAAAATTGAGAAATAAAGATAGATCAAAGTGGATGATGACAGCAGGCATACCCTTGTCAGCCAAGGTCTGCTGTGGGTGTGAACACTTTCTACTTCCGCTACTAGATCGCACATAGTTCTGGAGGTAAGGGGATGTTGGCAGATGGTGGCGGCAAATAGACCGGTCTAGAGATGCATGAGTGCCTTGGGTGCGATAGCAACCTCAATCTAGGTTCATGCAGTGGGCATCATATTCGATGGGTATGAAGTTCTTTGACTATCTAAGTACTATTACCTCACACCAATCCCTTGGCGGGCATAACGCAAGGGTCTAGATCATGATTTACCTAAAAAAAGGTCCACCTTGTCAACGCGGAGAAGGAGGAAACAGGGCTGGCATTAGTGTTTGGGGTCTATGCAGATATTGTACATGTCTTTTTGAGATCACTGCTGTCCAAGGGGTTCTTGTTTTGCCGGATTACACTGAGTGTGCGAATAAAGAAAGGACAGAATCACCCGACGTGGATACATACCGGATGCACATGTGGGCTTATCGGCGTTAATTATAAAATGACTACAAGGTCTCTTTCACAGAAGTGACTAGCAAGATTGAACATGAACTACTCGGAAAAGAATAGGCACTTGGGACTACTGTGCAGGGAAAGAAGAGAATAGGTTCTGGTCAGCGTCACAGGTAATACAGAGTACAAGGGAGGACATAACTGTAGAGCCCACTGGAATGCATGCCATGCGGGTTACATGAATGTGATGTATAATATGTCTTATTCTACTTACAGAGTATACTTATTCTCCATGAGTCTCAACAATACAATGGTATATTAAAAGATATTTGTTTCTTCTAGTTATACCGTGAGTAATCACAATTAGATAAGCACAAAGGGCTTGTAGCTCAGTGGTAGTAGCGCTCGCTTTGCATGCGAGAGGTCAGGGGTTCAATCCCCCTCGAGTCCACAACTTTTTGGTTTCTTTTTTCTTTTCTTCGTTTTTCTTTTGTCGTCCTTCTTTCTCTGCATCACACAAGCAAGGACAATGAACGATGAGCAATTCAACATAGCCCAAGCAAATTAAATAGTAGCGGCCAGACTACGCAAGAATCGGCATCGGGCAGTCATTGCGCAGACTTTGTGGACTTTCAAGTACCTTAATCGCCGAAGGTATGCATAGCGTGACTACAAAGTTCACGGCAATTATTTCAGTGTCGTTCGCTAGTTGGACATATCCAGTAAGCAGTCCTATTGTGGATGCTGAATGGGACACCAGTGAATAATGGCAGGAAAGAAGAACCCGTCTCACCACCGACCCCCATTTCAGTAGGGGGTCGGCTACAGCTCAGCGTCATTTTTTCGATATAGCTCAATCAAAACACCATAAAATCGTTATTTCTATATAAATGAAGCTATACAGGGGTCCCCCGGCACATCTATAATATGTAGATTTTCAGATGCCCTATTTTCCTGCCTCGATGAGGCTGGTGTTGGAGTACTATCGAGTTTCTTACCAAGCCGCTTTATAAGGGCTCTATTTTCCTGATGACGCTTTCTAGTTGTAGAACGCCAACGAGTCTCAGTATCGGCCGTATCTTCAGCCTCAATATAACGCCGTACATCTCCTACATATACTAGACCATCCATCTTAACCTGGTGTTTAGATCTTGAGGTTGAAATAGATGGCTGTTTTCTAGTCTTTAAAAGCTTATCTGGAGGCGCAGAGGCTATAGCATATTTCTCTACATTATATAAAGCGCCGCGTAGAATACGACCGATACTAGGAGAGAACCCCCTCCTAGTGCTGTGTACTATAGTTATCTCCTGACATATTGAATGTAGTGTTGTAGGTGTCTTGATAATCGATTCAAGCGGTGGTGATGGTGTTTTGTTAGTATTAGTAGTAGCTATCTACGTCAATGACGCAGTGTTTTCCTTTTATATAACGTTCTGTCTGCTTGAGAAACCTGTACGGCCAGTTTTTTGAGACTTTTGGTGATTCAGTAAAAGGATCAGTATAATGCCGTTCTAAAATTGTATCTGCGGCCTTCCTAATAGCGCTGGCATCTAAAGGAGCGCCTATATTATCAAATCGGTCTATATAATCAATTAAGGCACTGTACTGAGCCGGGTCAAGGCGTTGATTACTAGATTTCCTAGTACTTTACTGACTCGGCTAGTTATTCGATGACGAAGGCGCGAATAGGAAATACCATGCTCACACGCCAATTTGGTGATATTAACCCGTTTTTCTACACGATTTTTTTTATTGTACGTGTATAAAGCCTTTTGAATAAGGTCTTGCACAGCTTTATATATAGATTGCTTTTTTTTTTTTTTTATGCGGTGTGAATAGCTTCAAAAATAATAGAAATATTGAAAAAATGACGTTGGGCTGGGAATGACGTTCAGCTGTAGCCGACCCACTACTGAAATGGGGGTCGGCGGTGAGACGGGAAGTGGATAAAGCAAAGTATTGCAGATAAACAAGCTAAGATGAAAAAAAAGATGTTTCCAAAAAAGTTGTGGACTCGAGGGGGATTGAACCCCTGACCTCTCGCATGCAAAGCGAGCGCTACTACCACTGAGCTACAAGCCCGTTTGACACTTTTAGTAGGGAAAAGTTAGAATACTGAATGCTCTAATAAATCAATCATTTGTCACTTGTGTATCTCCCTGTACTCAAAGCTATCTACCCCCTCTAGTTCTCGCATAGGCAAAGTCGTCTGGGAATTCTGTAGTATGTATTGAATTGAGTCGTCTCATTAGCAGGCTGTCACCTGATGTCAGGGCATGAATTGGCCGATAGTTGAGAAGAGATATATTCATGCGCGATGATATATATCCGAACACCATACAGTATGTGGTTATCGGTGGGACATCAGATTCAATTTGAAGCCAGGCAGCCTTACCGTACTCAGCGGAGCATATAGACACAAGGGAAAAATAAGAGTTCCTATTATAACAACATCATATTCTATCATTCCACCCCGACACAAACTTCTACACAGGGTTTAATTGAAATACCCAAAAGACGTTATACCAACTTAAAGGTAGATCCAAGCTGAACCTACCCCTACCGTCTATTGAGAATTACATATGAAGTCCAGTAAAGTCAAAGGGCATAAGGCCTGTATCCAGAGTAGACTGTGAGACCGCACCTCGTGCCCAAGACAATAACACCTTGACCTGGACTAAACCATAGACATATCTAGATGTGCACATAACCCAAACATGATGCGAATGCAGAGCACACAATGAAGTGGGATGGGCCACCAAATGTCCTGTAGCATGTCGGCGACGCCTCAAAAGGATTACCCTGGCACCTCTGACACGAGCTCTAAATACGAGAACATCCTAAATAGTAGCCTAGGGCAGGCATAATGGATACGTCGTGCACCTAGCCATATGGGATGGAGAGTGCTAGCTGATGTTACTAGGTGGCGTGGGATAGGCATGTACTCCCGGGGCAGGTACCGATCCCCAAATCACAGATCGACGTCGATTTGTTTATCCTACACCCAAACCGCATTTAGGTACAACCCGCCAAACCCGAACTCCAATCCCCAAACCTGGGATATTCAAGGCAACGCCGATTATTTACCAATAAGAGGGATCTAAAACGCTACAACGAGAAGAGGGCCTTCGGCCCTACAAGCTCATACCTGCGCCCACAGAGGCTGCGGAAGAGCGTCGCCCGGTTGGATCATCGCTTCCTGACGGCAGGCAGGCTGGGTTACAAGCCCAGCGCGACTCCCCGGAGCCGGTGGATAGAATCCAACGTATGCCTCGCGGCGGGCGGGTTCCCCCACAGTGACGGACCAAGTATGCAAGCCATAGTATGAGGCAATGGAATGAACGAGCCAGCGACTAACAAAACGAATCGGTGAGTGTCGACTCGCAAATGCAAGAGTAAAAGGTAGAACTTACCCAAAACCAGAGGCCCGGTCATCTACTAGGCTCTCAAAGACTAACTTCTCTCCATCCCGTTCTCTGTTGGCATGCATTGCCTCCCGCATTTGCTGCAGTTTTTTCTTGCGTTCGGGGGAGTCATGCATTTGTCCATTTCTTCCCACGAATACAACTTCGTCCTCGGAGTCCTCGTCAGACGATGCTGGGGCGTCTGCCAGGCCATCCTTCTCGAGCAAGAGTTGTTTTTCGCCCCATCTCTGGATGAACTGTCGGATGTCCTCCTCGATATCCTGAAGCATACCCCGTGCAGCACGCGCATGCTTCAGCTTGAGGCGGAGATCCTTCGGAATACGATGCTTCTCACCCTTTGTGCCCTTTGCAGTCTGCTTCGATGAAGTGTGATCTATGTGCTTATAATGGACGTCCCAGAGAGGAGCGAGGTAGTAAGGCATCGGGTCGTGTCGAGTGTATGTAGGCTCCACAGCCCAGTCCCTGGAAGATGGTGGTTCGGCCCAAGGATTGTTCAGGAGGCGATCTTTTGTGAAATGGTCCGTCAGTACAACACTGTCGAAGAAGCTCGCCACTCGGGATCCGAGGTGTATAAAGTCGCGTAGACCCTGATAAGCGTAACCAGTCGGTCAAGACGTACCGTTCTCCCAGCGTTGCCTGCGACGACTTCCATCCTTGCCCTTCAGCAACGCCTCGCGTCTCTTCAAACTATCACGACGGAGTGGTTCTCGACGCCGGAAACTGACCGAAGGGACTTGCTGTGTCTGGGCGGAGGTCTGACCCAGGAGTTTGACCTTCGGGGTAGATGTATTCCCCGTGTTGGGGACCGAGTCATCCAGTGGGATTGACAGTGTGACCGTGGTCCCTCGCAAGGCGCCGCGTGTGGGAAGTGACTCCGGACCAGCACAACGCTGGTCGGCCGTAAGAATGGTATCCGAGATGGTCAAATTCTCCAGATGTGCAGCCGCCTGTTCTGACCAAGCCGATATTGCCCGGGCTTGCTGTGGGGACAAAGTTCCCTGGGCATTCGATTGAGGGCGCAAAGTCGGATGAATGGCCATGGCGCAAGAGACAGACCTCGGTAGGATCGCTCGGAGTCTGGGGTTGACGGAAGAGAGAGGGGGGGGGGGGGGGGATGAGTCGTGTAAAGGTCGGCGGAGAAAAACACGTAGAGGGTGTTGCGATTCGTATAGAGTCTACCACCCTTATAGACAACCACTGTAAGCGGAGTTGAGAAGGAGCGAAAAGGAGGAGAAGGCGCGGGGGGGTTAAGTGAAGGCCAGAGAAGCAGATAAGAGAGATACGGACCAGTGTCCTGGATCGCTCGCGCTGGCGTCCCGGTCGCGTCCGGCGATTCTGGAATATTACGGGTTGAGTCACGATGGGGCACGAGTCCTGAAAACTGAACCTAATTGGGTAAGGGGTCTCTAGCCCTAGCCCTAGGAAACTTTAACTGGCGTAAGGTTTCCCAATCAGGATTTGTGACGCGACACGAGTCAGCGTGATTCATCCATGATTGAATGTGAGTCGTATTATGAAGTCAACCTTGTTTGGATACCATACGGGGTGTCCATACTAGCCAGTAAAACATCCATTATGGTTATCTCACACTGGCCAACCCATTTTGAGGTAAACCGATATCAGGCTTCATGCGAGAGACAATCCAATAGACTTCACAATCGCGGTGTGCAATGTAGACGGCGCTTCGACTCCAGAGCTGACAGGGTTGGTCATAATATAAGGACCCCCTTACCGCTAACATTACGGAGCACTCCGTATGTTAAACTGCCCGGTTCTACGGAGTACTGTACAGTGTATGCTCTACCTAAGTAAAACCAGGCCCTGTCAACGGGGCACGGACTACGTACTGTCCTTTTTGAGGTGGGACTACAGGACGCTATTCAGCGTTCTTCCAAGCTGCAGGAACAGCTCCTTCAGAACATGAGACAAATGAGACAGCCCCGAGTGGAAGCCCCAATAAACGGTTGGAATGAATCAATAGTACCTAGTACTCCCTACCTGTAATCTGGAAACTCCCTTTTTTGCTTTCTATTATTTTCTTTTCTTTTTCTCTTTTGAGCGATTGAGCTTCTTCTACGGAGTACTGGAGAAGAAATAGATGTCAAAGTCAAGTCCAGACAAGACATAGTGGATATTTCCTGGGCGGAGTTGATGTGTACAGCCACTACTCCGTACAAGTTCCTGTTATTTCCGGCACGGTCGCAACGCGGGGTGAATCAAAAGATTATTAATAGCGTTCAGGTCTTGGCCGGTGGAGTCGGGAATTCAACCTGTGATGGCCTTGGATTTACCATATTTGAACAGGGAAATGCAAGTAGTGTTTGTAGGTGACATGGTGACATGGTTAAAGGAGAATTTGACGAGAATTAGTAAATAACTAGTAAACGAGGAATGACCATTCAACGGCCTTGAAAACGCCACCGCAGTATCTTGTTTGTAAGCTGTGATAGCCTCGACAAGTGCAGTTTGTGGTAGCATGTTGATAAATAAATAATACAATTCCGGCATGACTTTTGGACCCTCCTGAATGTCTAGTGTCCACTACGTAGTACATTCTCTTTGTCTCCACCGGAGCGGCTATTGTGCCTGCGCCTTCTGTCATTGAGTTTTGGAGATTCTCAATTTAGGTGCCCTACTTTTTGTGCTACTACTACCTTACCTTACCTTATACCTGCTAGTCCTTCTGATCCGGAACTTATAAGTATGATACGATGTCACCCCTAAGCGTATCTCTGACGCATGAAAGATCCGAACCCCGTCTCTCGTGCTGAGTTTAGTCGATCACAAACCAAGCTATAAAACCCCATCTAAATCCCCGCCATCATTGTTGTTAGGGTAGTAGTCAGCAGCGCGTGACTTGCACTCTGCTCTTGCTTATCATTTCCCCATTCCTCCAACTCCTGTACTCATTCGATCGATCGAACATTTACATCACCGTTGGAGAGAGCGGGTACCTCCAGCACCCCCTTCACCGTCCATCGAATACTCCTCTGTATACATATCTTCTCCCTTCCTTTCTCTTTATCTTGTGATATAGTCTTTTATTCTCTAACAATCACGGTCCTCCGCCACCCCCTGTATCGACGGTCATTTCCATTGTGACGATTTCTTCGCAATCAGAATGAAGCTCCGAGTAGCTCTTGCGCTGAGCGCAACGGCATCCGCAGGCGTTTTGGCCGCCGTAATCCCACAGCAGGCACTGCTGAATAACCCACAAATCCATCACGAAAATGAAAAGTATCTTATAGAGCTGGCACCCTATCAAACAAGATGGGTGACGGAAGAAGAAAAATGGGCTTTGAAATTGGTACATTTCCAAGATTCGGTTTCGCGTTGCAGGCGGTTCGGTTAACACTGGTTTAGGATGGTGTGAATTTCATTGACATCACCGAGGAACGAAACCCCGGGTTTTACCCCACATTGCACCAAGCTAGTAACGTCCGATATCCCTCGAAGATGGAACATGTCGATGAGGTTGTCGCCTTGACCCACGGCCTCACTAAGGCCAACATGGAGCGGGATCTGGAGAAGTTCACCTCCTTCCACACGCGCTACTACAAGTCCCAGACCGGAATCGAATCGGCGACGTGGCTCTACAATCAAGTCCAGACGGTTATCGAACAATCTGGGGCAGCGGAACATGGCGCGACCGTGGACCAGTTTGCCCATTCATGGGGCCAGTTTAGCATTGTGGCTCGCATTCCGGGTAAATCGAACAAGACGGTCGTATTAGGCGCCCACCAAGATAGTATCAATTTGTTCCTTCCGTCTATCCTGGCTGCCCCGGGAGCCGATGACGACGGCAGTGGAACGGTCACGATCTTGGAGGCGTTGCGTGGTCTGCTGCAGTCAGACACCGTGGCCCAAGGTAAGGCGCCGAATACAATCGAGTTCCATTGGTACTCGGCAGAGGAAGGTGGCATGCTGGGCTCCCAAGCTATCTTTTCTCGATACAAGCAAGAAAGACGCGACATCAAGGCGATGCTCCAGCAGGACATGACCGGTTACATCCAGGGGGCTTTGAATGCTGGTCGTAAAGAAGCCGTGGGCATCATGATCGACTATGTCGATCGAGGTCTGACCCAATTCCTCAAAGACGTGGTTACTGCAGTAAGCCCTCTCAATTTCCCTACTTCTACTCATACGGTCTCGCTGACAATGTCTTCTAGTATTGCAATGTGGGGTATCTAGAGACGAAATGTGGCTACGCTTGCTCCGACCATACATCAGCAAGTAAATATGGCTACCCGTCGGCCATGGCTACTGAGGCTGAGATGGAGAACACCAACAAGAGGATCCACACGACAGATGACCGGATCAAATACTTGAGCTTTGACCATATGTTGGAACACGCGAAGTTAACTCTCGGCTTTGCTTATGAGTTAGCGTTTGCTTCGTTTTAATAATGGGCAATTTCTCTAATTCTTAATCTTGGGTCATGATTCACGACTTATCTCTAACAGCCAATGCGTGCAGTACTTATCCTTAGAACATTGATCTTTATCTACTAAACTACTTTCTGGATTAGTCAATGACTGATGAGATATATGGCTAGGACTATGCAACTCAAGAATAGACTAATTCTCCAACATACTCATTTTGTACACTTGTAGACTAATGCGTAACACGCCGACTGGATGGCAACTTAGGTATTCAAGGGCTCGTCACGTGTCTCATGCCATGCTCGTTCTTCCCTTCCTACTGCAATCTCTGCCAGTGAGACGGCTATTGAAAGCGTATCCTACATTAATGGACCTGAGCGCCATCGTTGCAGTCAAATCGGTTCTCCTCATGATACTTCCATCATCATCGTAATTGCACAGGATCGTACAACAGGCACCACTCTCGGCATTTCTTAAGATAGATCTTTTTGGACGTGAAAAGTTGAGGTAGGTGGCTCAGTGCTGAAACTCTTGGAGCCGTTACTGATCTCACAGGTCCTCACACCCTTCTTTATTAGATAACTTTCATAGCATGACTATACCGGAGACCTTATTACTCTACCATCGGTTTTCTCCATTAACCACTTCACGATGTGGTCTATCGTTGGATGACTCCAGGTAAGGTTCGGCGGGACTAGCACCCCCAGCCTATTTTGCAATCGCCCACGTAAATGGACGGTCATCACGCTGTCCATCCCCAAATTGCTCAATGGCTCCAGGGTGGACACCTCGTCGGTCTCCATCTGCAGCACCCTCGCGACACACTCTCGTACCTGTCTACTAAGAATATCGAACCGATCTGCAGGGGTCAGAGGCGGAGTGAGTGAATCGCCGGAAGCACTCAACGGGGGGCTTGGTGGTGGAGTGAGGATTGTGGAGGCCTTCTGGATAGCAATGTCGAAGAGCAGCGGACTGGGAAGTGGTTCGTGCTTCTCTAATGCACGGCCCCGAAGTACCACAGCGTGATCAACGTCGTATTTGGAGACGTGCATCCAGGCCTGGAACGCTTCGTCCTGTGAAATGTCCGTGATTCCCTTGGTGGCCAGCTCTGCCTTAACGAACTCAGAGCCAGCCGCCATTCCTATTTCGCGCCAGCTCGTCCACTGTATGGCGATAGTGTTATCTCCCTGAGAGCGGCGATAACTTGCGAGAGCATCGAGAAATGCATTGCCGGATGCGTACGATGCTTGCCCCGGAAAACCAAAGAATTGGCCACACGAGGAGAACAAGACCATGAAATCTACTGTTTTCGGCGGGAAGAGTATGTTTAAAGTGAGCGAACCTGCAATTTTTGGTGCGAGGACACGCTCGAAGGCGTCTGGAGTGACAGACAGGACACGTTCATTGTGTAGAACCCCGGCCGCGTGTACAACTCCTTGAATGGGAGGGAGGCACAGGTCGTCGATGCGGCTGGATAGTTGCGAGGCTGCGTTATGAGAAGATATGTCGACGGCGATTGCCTGAATTGTGGCCCCGCGAGACTCCATTGAAAGGATTTTTTTGATTGCCGGTGCCAATGGCGAGGCCGAGTGGATAAGAGCGGCCCAGTCCTTCCGACGAGGGAGTGTACGACGAGAGACTAGAATGATTCGGCGTGCCCCTTTCTGGACGAGAAAGTCTGCTGTTGCTAAGCCTAAGTCTCCCAGACCGCCAGTGATCAAATAGGTCCCAGATGGATGAGGAAGAAGCGAATCCTGTCCTGAAGGTGGCAGTGCTTTGGTGCGTGGTAATGGGCGTAGACGTGCAACGCGTGGAATACCGTCCGAGATCCGGATGATGTCCCCATTCTGAACATACTTCATTACTGCCAATGGAAATACTGGCATTTCCACATCAATTAAGGCCCCCCAGTTGTCGGGTACCTCCGATGAAATGATGCGTGAGAGCCCGTGCAAAGGCGCCTGGGCTAATGAGGTGGCCGTTTCGGCCTTTATCACACGCTGCGTGAGTACAAAAACCTTGCTTGAAAGTGCATAAGAGGAGATAAACTTCATGATGTTCACAAGATCAAAGGCATAATCCCGAGAGGCAGAAGGGATGCTTTTAGGACTGGACACACGCCCTGGGATATAGGTAACTACCGTGTCCTTTTGATGCAAGACGTTTTCACCCTCTGCAAGTTTGGCCAACTCTTCAGGAGTGGCTAATATGCTGACTGTTTGCTTTCCTCGATCTATAGAAGCCGCATACTCATTAGCCAGACCCCCGTCTCTTGAAATGAGAATAACATGGGCGATCGCCAGGGGGCTCTCGCTATATGTGGCGGGTGGCCACGCCAACTGATGCACCAGGCCTTCCAGGCTGCCTGTGTCCTCGGGCGCACCATTAATTTCGGAGAATCTCATCGAATTTACTTGAAGAAGGACAGTCCCGCTCTCATTGCAGATACTGACATGTGTCGCATAGTCGCTGGCCGTGGCTTTCTTGACATATAACCAGGCTGTTGTAGGAGGTGGTTGTTCGACTAGGATTTTGACTTCCTTGACGTGGGCAGGCATTCGAAGGCGGGGATTGTCGAAGAATAGCGTTGAAGCCACTGATGTTGCCGAGTCTAAAACTGGTGCCCATGAACCTTTATCCCAGGGTACTTCGCCACTGCCATTGTTGGGGCTCACATCTACCCGGGCGACCATCTCGTCCAAATTACCATGATGCTCAGTGACGACCCATGGGAAGCCCATGGCCGAGACCCCGACAGAGGCAAGGTAGTCAATGCTGAATTTATCTCCTAACCTGTTGTTAATACGGGATTTGACTGCCTCGATGTCTATGTTCCTGGTGGTCGGTTGTTCATCCCGTTCTACAGCCCAGTAGCTGGTCGTGTGTGTTAGCCAGCCACTGTCGCCTTCGGCGCCGTTACCTTTGACAAGGCGGGAACATAGTCGGGACTGATCCGACTGGACAACAAATTGAACCTCACGGGGCTCACTGGTAGTAACAGGTACACGCAAGCAAAAGTTATACAGCACTTGAGCCCCAGTCCCTTGAAGAAAGGTGTTCACCAGGACTGCGGCTGGGATAATCTCACAGCCATGAACGGGATGGCTACCCGGAAATGGCTTTGTCTGTTCGTCAATCCTGGTCTCGTAGATGATCGTATTATCACCCGCGATGCTAGTTCTATGGCCGAGCAGATTATGTTTGTCGACGTCATGCATTCTGCTAGGTTGCTCAGACCGTGCATTGACCTGCCTGCATATTGGCCGGTGGTTCCAGGTCGTTGTAGGTACATTAGTGGCCCAGGGACCTTGCATATGCTGACTCCAGTCGATCCTGGCCCCTTGGCAATGAAGCTGAGCCATGCAATAAAGGATGGTTTTCTCCGCTGGTGTGTCACGCAACATAGTGTTGGTAACGGTAAAGTTCCCAACGCCAATATCGAGCAAGGTCTCCTCAATGGAATGGGAGACTATACGGTGTGAGGAAACCTCCAAGAAGTGTCTCATCCCATCCTTTGCAGCCGCAGATATAGCTGAAGTTAGTTGCACTGGATTGATCATGTTATCCAGCCAGTAACGGATACCGCGATCCATCGTGCTGCGCGGATCGCATGCTGAGGTAGAATAGATTGCTACCTTTGACGGCGAGGGAGAAATACAGCCATCCAGGGCTTCTGCTAGAGGATCCATAAGCTCACATAGCATTGGGTGATGAAACGCAATATCGGTGTCTACGTGGAATGTTTTGACGTCTTTGTTGTTCAGATTCAGAACGAAAGCCTCGATCTCTTCCTTTGGCCCTGAGACAACGCACGAAGATGGAGACGAATTGATTGCCGCCACAAGGTTATTGGCATTCTGGGTGCTGATCTCAATCGTCACTTGTTCCAAGGGGGCACGAACTAAAACCATGGCGCCAGCTCCCATGAAACGACGGTAGAGCTTCGCACGTCGAGTGACAATGAGGGTTCCTTCAGTTGGAGTAATGCACCCCGCAGCGACTGACGCTGCAATCTCCCCAACTGAATGACCTATGACTGCACTGCAACTCACACCTAGGGAATGCAGCACCTCACTCAGTCCTATTTGCATGAGGTAGGTCAAAACTTGGACTTGGTCTGAGCCATTCAGTTCTCCCAGCTCCATGGCCTGAATGGCTGAGAAGCCCATCTCTTCCTGTACAAGTGCCTCCACCGATTCAATAACACCACGAAAGACTGGATATTGAAGGAGGGTTTTGGCCATATCTGTCCACTGGGCGCCGTGGCCTGAGAACACCCATACCACAGGCCGGTCATCGCCTTCTGGTATTCCACCAGACGTTATCCACTCTGTAGGAGTCTGACAGGCAAACGCATCCAGTTTCCCGGCTGCATCATCATGACTTTCGACGACAAACGCTGCCCGATACTTATGGTGGCTTCGACGTGTTCCCAAGGTGGCTGCCACACACCTTAGATCATTTTGCTTTCCAACGGTGGACATCCACTCAGCTTGTGTGGCTGCCTGGATTTCAAGTGACCTTCTCTGCGGTGCTGAAAGAAGAAGAACCTGCGTCCCCTTCGGCCATTGTTCCTTTGAGCTGATAGATGGATCTGTTTGGATATACTGCTCAATGATTCCGTGAGAGACCGTACCGCCGTATCCATAGGAACATACGCCGGCACGGCGTGGATTACCCGAGCTAGGCCAGTCTTTAATCTCTTGCACAACCCGTAACCCCTCGCTCCAGTCCACTCGGGTGCTTAGTGTCTTCAGATTGGCTTGAGGGGGTAGGATGCCTTTCTGTACAGACATGACCGCCTTAATGAAACCAACAGCACCTGCGCCTGCTTCAAGATGTCCAACGTTTGGTTTTACCGAACCAATGTGACATGGCTTATCTGGACTTCTACCTTTTCCATAAACAGCTGAGATTGCGGAGACTTCTGTTGGATCTCCTACTGGTGTCGAAGTCGCATGGGCCTCCACATAATCGATGGTTGACGCGTCAACTCGAGCTACGTCTAGTGCCTTCCTCGCTACCAGCTCTTGCGCCTTCTGATTTGGGGCCATGATTCCAGTTGTGCGCCCATCCTGAGCAACTGCTGTCCCTTTCAGAGCAGCTAGGATGTGGTCACCGTCCTTGACTGCTTCTGCCATATTCTTTAGAATAATCACTGCGACTCCTTCACCACGACCGTAACCGCTGGCTGCGTCATCAAATGAGTGGCAACGGCCATCGGAGGATAAAGCACCGGCTTTATCAAGTACACTCGTTAGACCTGGACCGATAATAGCGTTTACTCCTCCCACAATGGCGACCTTGGACTCTCCACTCAAGATTGCCTGTCTTCCCAAATGAATGGCGACCAGTGAAGATGCGCAAGCAGCATCCACTGCAGTACTTGGACCCATCAGGTTGAGATGGTAAGATATTCGGTTAGCAACGCCACAATAAGCAGTCCCTATCCCCATCCACGGCTCAACGTGGGGCAGGTCTTCGAGTAGCAGCTTTCCATAGTCATCAGAATTCACACCCATGAAGACAGCAGCGTCGGACCCGGACAGGCTACTCAAAGGAATTCCTGCATTCTCTAATGCCTCACACGTCACTTCTAATGCAAGGCGCTGTTGAGGATCCATCTGCTCCGCCTCCTTGGGCGAAATACTGAAAAAGCTTGCGTCAAAATTCTCTAAATTCTCCACGAAATAGCCCCGACGGGGCACTGTACCGATACTCCTTGCGTTCTGTGCGTTCCCCTGGTATGGCTCCCACCGCATACTAGGTATCTCACTTGAGGCGTCGACTTTTCCGAGGATTGACCGCCACAGTTCTTCAGGGGTGTTATTGTTCCCGGGTAGACGACATCCCATACCCACTACCGCGACATCGTTTGAAAAATCCTGGAAGGTATCAGCACATCAATCCTTGATATGACCTGTCTACCCGACAGGAAGGGTTCTCACCCTGGTCTCCATCTCGACTCCCGTTATATAGCTTAGAAACAAAGGGACGTTGCAAACTTCAACCAACCAAATATATATATAGTGATGTCCTGGGCTGGTGCTAATGTTTGTTTCAATGTAATGGCCCTAGGTGATGGACCGCATTGATGAGCGCAAGAAACGTTGGATAAGGGTTGTGGAACTATTCTTGCAACATTATATATATGGTGTAAATCTTGACCGAGTCGTATGTGTTGAGAGCCCCACACAGCTCAGCGGTGCAAGAGCTTTACGGGCTAGATATACAAAATTCGTGCCAAAGAATTTTAGCATCGTTAAGCTGCTGCCTCCTTGCCGCCTGGCGCGAGAATATTTACTAATCACGAATCCAGATTTATCTTAAAGTTCGCGTGATATAGAATCCTGGAATCAGGGCGGATCTCCCCAGCACGAATAAAGAACCGCTATGCATGGGAATGCATGCGGCTTTAGGTTTTGCTTTTGTCGCTGGCTGCAGCCAGAGTGGCAAGACAAAGACTATAGTCAGTACATAGTCAATGGACCATTAGAGTCCCTTCAGTTTATCATGCTATAGGTCATATGAACCAAAATTTGGGAGCTAAGCGAGAACCACGAGTACTGATATTTCCCAAGAGCCGCCTGAAACCAGTTTGTTCCCTTGAACGTGTCTCACCGACAGTTAGCCATCCTTTTCCGATACTTACTCAGGTGAGCAAAGCAGGCAAGGAGAACAGGGGGCTAGCTTGCCACCACGAGAAGAAAGCATAAGCATAAAGAGAACATCGATAGTGCAAGGTGATGGAAATAGAATAAAGCACAAGGTCTAACAGATGCGACGTGCCCTTCATGTAGCTCAGGGAAGTGTTCTGGCCATGATATGTCTCGGTCATGATCGGCTTATCTGACAGCCATACATTATTGTAGTACATGGTTTATATGATTGCAAAACCTACGCTCCGTGGATACGTGTCAGGCAGCTATAGATCCACACCAAAGGCCACCGAGGAGTAGTGGTATAATCCTTGCGCGAACGGGTCCGCCTGTATACCTAAGGAAGGATACCATTGACCGATCTCGGGATCAGATGGTTTGAAAGTCATCAGCGTGGAGCATTCGGTGGGGACCATCTAGCGTATGCATCAGTACGTGAAAAGAGAAGGGAATTTCAAAATTGTTGAGGGGACTCTAGATTCGAACTTTATGCTAGGCCTAAGCTGCATGGTCCTTTCTTTGTTGCGTATGCGGGTAATCGCTTTTGATCAGGCAGCAAAGGACTACCGATGATGTATTGATCGTGTACAACAGAAAAAAAGACGATGAAGGAAGGGAGGATCAGATGATTAAAACGACAACGGGGAACAAAGAAAAGGAACACGGACCACCTATATTATTATAGACTGAGGCACTGATAGTAGATTTCGTCTATGCATGAGGTACCCTGACAACAGAGGCCAGGAATCTCCCTCAGCTAAAGATTCGTGGGAGTTTTTACCGGATTATGCAGTGGAACGGAGGCAATGCAGACTTCGTGTGCAGTGAGGCATCTAGATTAATAGTTCGATCAAGAGAGGAATATGTGGAGGAGGTCCTTTTACTAGTTGTCTGTACCTAAAGGGACCACTACCACTAGTACGAAGTACGGAGCCGTTAGGTTATGCATGGGTCATGTGCTATGTATGCCTCGCTTAAGTTCACTCTGTTCTGGTCTGGTTTCGTCTCTACCACTCAAACCTTGCTTGCAACTTCTCACCATGTTTTGTACATAGACGACGCACCTGTTTTTAAAGTGGAGCGATAGCCATTCGATCATCAAAGCTTTCCTGACTGTTGCCTGAGTAAAAAGGAAGTGGTGAGTCTTTCTTCTGGACTCCTAATGACCTCTTAAGTTGACTCTAATAAACCTCCGGGAGCCAACGTACTCAAAGCGATTAAACCCATCTGATCTAGCGTTATGTTGATACTTATCGGATTATTATGCCTCTACATTGGCCTTTATGTGGCCCGGACGCATTGGAGGCTAAGACACTTTCCCGGTCCGCTCGTAGCACAGTTTACGGACCTAGGAAGGCTTTGGTGGGTTAAAACTTCTCGCTCGCACCACCACCATATGGACTTACACAGTCGCTATGGCCAATATGTTCGATTAGGACCAAATATGATATCTATCTCGGACCCGGATGCCATTTCGCTGGTATATCCGATTCGTCCAGGGGTTCCAAAGGTGAGTAAGATACAAACACCTTGCTCGTGTATCAAGAGGTGACATTTGTGCTGATGTGGATGGGTCTGTCAAGAGTGATTTTTACCGGTCAATGATGCCATATACCAGGAAAGGCCGCTCATTGCCGCTTGTGTTCAATACCCGGGATGAAGCCCTCCATAAAAGACTCAAGACTCCTATTGCGCACCTGTACTCCTTGTCAAATATCTTGACATTCGAGACCTTCGTTGACCAGGTTCTTGAGATCCTGTTTCGCCAGTTTGAGGAGCAATTCGTTCCCGGTCAGGCGGCCTTCAATCTTGGAAACTGGCTGCAGTATTTTGCATTTGACGTGATGGGGACTATGTCCTTCTCTCGGCGATATGGATTCCTAGAGAAGGGGCGAGATGACACTGGTCTGCTTTCGGCTATTTGGGCTTTTATGAAGGCTGCTGCACCGGCGAGTTTGAACAACCATGGCCGCCATAGAACAAGTCTTGCTAACTTGTAATAGGTCACGCAGATGCCATGGGTTGATTTGGTGTGGAATAAGAACCCCGTTATCGCTCTATTTCGGGCTACACCAGCACAGCCGATTTTGAACGTTGTGCTGTCAAGGATCAACGAACGACGAGAGGAGCTCAACAACACTGAGAGTAAGCTGGAGAGCGTAAACGAAAGGGATTTTCTATCCAGGTTTATGCACATCCAGTCGAACAACGACACTATTCCACCCTGGTGAGTGAGTCGTGGAAATGATGTTCGAGCCTGAACTGACCGGACAGGGCTGTGACGGCGTGGTCATTCTCAAACGTGATTGCGGGCTCTGACACAACCGCCGTGGCCATGAAAACATTGTGGCATAACTTACTCTTGCATCCAGTGACTTTGCATCGCCTACACAAGGAACTTGTCCAAGCCCAGCAGCAGTCGAAGCTGTCCTCTCCGTTCCCGGCATGGAACGAGATTTCCGGATTACCGTACCTCAATGCTTGTGTCAACGAAGCGCTCCGGATACATCCACCATTCTGCCTTCCCTTCGAACGAATTGTTCCTGCAGAAGGGATGACTATCGGCGGCCATTTTTTCCCCGGTGGAACAGTGATCGGTATGAACCCTTGGGTAATCAATCGCCATCGGCCAACATTCGGCGAAGACGCGGACGCCTGGAGACCTGAAAGATGGCTCGAGGATTCAGCTCGCACTCGACAAATGGAGAACACTCTTCTAAGCGTGAGTTCCCAATGCTATTTTCGGCACGGACGAAGAGTAACGGTAACCTGTCTAGTTCGGCGCTGGGAGGCGAGTGTGCCTTGGGAAAAACATTGCGCTGTTAGAGCTGAAGAAGCTCACTTCTGCTCTTGTGCTTCATTACGAGGTCTGCAATACTTTCCGTGCCCTTGAAAGATTTGCGAAAAATATCTAACTATGTACAGTTGGAGATCGTAAATCCGGAGGAGTTCCAGTCCCAGAATTTCTTTTTCTTCAAGCAAGAAGGGTTATATGCGGCGGTCAAGAGACGGTCGGCAAGTTCGCCAGAGCTATATGCGGGTGATGCCCTTCCTCATTAAATCTTGCACTAGGTGGGACTTGAGGGGTTGTGGATCGATGAGAGTAGCGTGGGTCTGGAAGCTGCTGGATAGACACCGCTATTCTTTGGGCGAGGAAGTCGCGTAAGGAGTAGGTGGTAAGTATATGGATATGTATGTATCATACAATACCGTACAGTACACAGATAGAAAAGATCGGGTCATGATCGCGCTATTCCCAAAACAGAAACACTAGACCAATCTTGGCCGACCGCAGGGCAAGGTTCCATTCGTATTGCAAAACCACACCCATTCAAGTAAAGTGACTCAATTCATCGCCACTACATTTCACACCGAGCCTCCTCGGAGGCATCATACGGATTATTGGAACGCGGGCTTTTTCTATTGAGTTGATTTTACCCAACTGACAACTTAAACTTGTCAGTTCGATTAAACTTTTTGCCTTTCGAGAGTCTGGATTCAGAAACCGATCACTAGGTAGACGTTCCCAGAATATACACACCGTTCTGACTCGCTAAGCTTTGAGATAGAATTGGCAATCAGTGGTGTCTGAGATTTCAATTCACCATACCCACAGGATTCTATTGTTCCTGGGTACATACTTCGACTATTTCCGAAACTGCTGGACAGTTGATTCTGACCTTGACCTACACTTTTGAGGGACCCGTTGTAGTAGAGACTTAGAATTATGGAGTCGACGCACCCGTACACAAAGGAGCTCGAGGTTGCTTGTCTAACAGTGCAAAGAGCTACCCTTTTGACGAAAAAGGTGCTCGACGCGGTCGACAAAGGGGCCTTGGACAAGAGCGACTCGAGCCCTGTGACCGTTGCTGACTTTGCTGCCCAAGCATTGATCATTGGAGCAATCCATCGGGCCTTCCCTGGCGATGACATTGTGGGCGAAGAAGACTCCAAGGCCCTTCGGGGGAACGAGGCCTTGCTTGAGCGTACGTGGGAACTCGTCTCCTCCATTCATCTTGACGATGAAACGAGTGAAGCGCTCCTTTACTCCCCGAAGAGCAAGGAGGAGATGCTCGATCTAATTGATTTGGGTGCCCGCGGCAGCTGTAGCCGGGAGAACCGCTCGTGGGTTTTGGACCCGGTGGATGGCACCGCAACGTTCATCAATGGACAGCAGTATGCGGTCTGCCTGGCACTCGTAGAGAACGGGGTCCAAAGGCTCGGCGTCTTGGGGGGACCGAATCTCAACCTTGAAACGGGCCGCATGCACGAGGATATTGTGGATCGGGATGGGTATGGGTATCAACTCTTCGCCGTTGCCGGTCACGGTGCATTCATGCGGAAGATGGGGACCGGGGCCCTCTTGCCGGCTAATCGCATTGATGCCAAGCCTCAGATTACCGACCCTAAGGATCTTGACTTCGTGGATTGCGTGGCGGCCACCTCCTCGAACATTGTGGCGCATGAACGCCTTGCGTCCCACCTGGGTGCGCCGTGGCCACACACGACGGATCTTTGGGCGGCCCAGCTGCGATATGTCGCCATTGCGGTCGGTGGCTGCAATACATTGATCAAGATCCCACGCAACGCATCGTATCGATCGAAAATGTGGGATCATGCAGGGGGGATGTTGATCGTGCAGGAGCTAGGCTGTATCGTCAGCGACCTTGCCGGCAATCCGGTGGATTGCTCCCTGGGCCGGACCCTGGCCGGTTGTTATGGAATGATAGTGGCGCCAGCCTCCATCCACGGACGGCTGGTTGAAGCCGTAAAGCAGATTATGTAGAAAGAATATTTGATCCCCTAAGGAGTTTTCATTGGGGTTATTCGGTTTTGCACTTTTCTTAATTCCTATTTCTTATTACCTTAATTTATTGCATGACGGTGTAGAAAAACTTTTTGTTTTATTGGATTTGGGACGCACAGAAAAAGTTTTGCTAGTACGAGTATAAATCGCTAGATGAGAGAGAGAGCATGACGAGTCAGGTTTATCACCACATTTGGAAAGTAGAGATTGAGTGAGGTGGGGTTTTGCGTTTATACATATTGTTATTTTTATTTTTAAATTTTTTTACCGTGTATTTATTGATCTGAATTTTCCCTGATTTTCTCTCTCTCCCTCTTTTTTTTTTTTTTTTT